CAATATTCGGAAAATGGTGCCCTCTGAAGAAAATTATTTTTTTCTGTGACGGGAAAAAAGTTTGGCATTTCATCTCTGTTGGCAGGTTATAAAATGTCACTTTTCATAAATTACTTTTTTCCGTGGGAAAAAAGTGAGTACTTTTTTCCCAGATATATATCACATATATATACTCTGTTAATGGCTTTTGTTGTGCTATAGTTCCGAAAAATGAGTCAATAATACCGTCTCCGAGAAAGAACTGCAAGTCCTTTTATCTTCCATTCGACTTCGCGGTTTCGTATATTACTGAACAACTACTGAATTCGCAATTTTTTAAAATCAAATCACAGAATTGAACTGACAGAAGTGACATCAGATATTTGATTACTTCAAAAGAATGATAAAGATGTCTATAAAACGCAGGTGTCCCTACTGTTAAAAACTTGAAATTTCACGTCGATAATTTTCAGATTTCGAAATAATGTGATATCTTCTCAATATTGATTCGTCCTACCTTCTGTCACAGAAAAAAATAGTGTATTATACACGGGAAAAATATTAGATTTTAGCTCACGGTTTTTTGTCTCCCTCCGCTACGCGTCGGGAGACAACACAACCTGGAGCTAAAATCTACTACTTTTTTCCCTTGTATAATAAATAACTATTAATTTTTTACTCAGGAACGAAACCTCACTGACGAATAAATTGCTCCACAATTGATATGAGACAAGCAAAAATCCCATTTTTCTATTTATCTTCCAACCTCTATAACTTTAGATACGGTTAATCGTTTTAGATTTTCGTCAAGATTTTAATATTTTGAAAACATTTTCATGAGATGTATCCTTTGTATACAGGGTGTCTCATGTTTACCTTGTATAATTCTATTCCAAAATTCGGTTTTCGAGTTAGTTGGAATGTGTCCTTTACTTTCAACATAAAACAACTGGAAGTTGATAATCTGTTCAAGGAGTGGACTATTATACTATAATGACAGTGATTCTTGTCTACCTTGCATCTATAAATGTGAATCAAAAAACGATAAAAATTCTCATAAACTCATTGAATATAGCGAAACACGATTCGGAGCAATAAAATCACCTTGTAAACAATCGGTATCGTCGTCAGATATAACAAATATGTAACAACAAAGAGCCATCGATGGGTATTAGAAACCGCATGAAAATAATTATTCATTGATATTGGCTTTTTTATTTGACTCGAGTATTCATTACGAATTCGGATTCCCACGTTTCTACAATTTTATGAATATGCATTGTATGACATTGTCAATATCAGCTAGATAATAAAAAAAAACATACTGAACAACTCAAAATCTATTTTAGGTCGGAATAGAATAGACCTTTGAAACAATCAAAATATAGGAAATCCATTCAATGGACTTATATACAGGGCGTTTCATAATATATGCGCAGGACTCCAGGATGTGATAGTTCGTCCAAAAATTTGGAAGAAAGTTTATATCAACTTATCCTCTAAAATGCACCATTTTGGAGATACAGGGTGTTTAAATTTAAAAAAATAATCATTTTGGCGAATATTTGTGGAACCGTTCATCGTACAGAAAAATGTTTTCTACTCATGATAGGCTATGTTTTGTGTAGAATTTTGTACAGTTTTAAGCCGCCCATTTTAAGCGCCGTATTTTCTACACCAAAAAATACTCTTAGTCATATATGCTCCAAAGTTGACAGTTTCTGAGAAAAATCAACTTTTATGTTGAAGAAAATGGTCAAAAATTTTGATTGCATTGAAGCTAACGCCGGACCTTTCAAAAAGTTAATTTTGATTGAGTACGATTTGTTATTGTTTTCTGTTAATTTCAATTAAGAAGTCAACGTTTGGTTTTGTTACTTGTTCTAACGTTTAATTACATTTTGTTTGATTAGTATGAACAAGAAATATTAAAAATTGACCTTGTATATCAACTAAAAGTTGATTTTTCTCGAAAACGGTCAACATTAGAGGTTATGACCAGGAGCATCTTTCTTGTGTAGAAAACATTGTCGGTTTAGTTGGGTGGCTGTACTTTTTACAGTGACGTAGAAGTTGGTGTAAAAACGCCCACTACCCCTTCAATTTCTTCATCAATTATGACTTTAAAAAACGAAATTCCGCACAAAACATAGCCTATCATGAGTAGACATTGCTTACGAGAGATTTTTTCTGTGCGATCAACGGTTTCCGAGATATTCGCAAAAACGATTTTTAGTTTCAATTCCATCACCCTGTATCTCGAACATGGCGAATTCTAGAGGGTATATCAATGCATATTTTTTTCATATTACTGGACGAGCTATCACATCCTCATTATAAAAATACGTGGGCAAACATTAATTCCGCCATATATCATTGAATTTTTGAAAATCAAAATACAAATTTGAGTTATTATGCCAAATCTGTCTTGATGAAAAAAACATGTTGATTCTTCCTGCTTCGTACCATTCGCTATTAATAAATCCCCAAGAGATCATTTTTTCAATGAAACCCGTCTAACAAAAATAATCAGGGTACGCCTTCGCATATATTCGAAGTAGTCGCATCTAGTTCTAAAGTTCAACGTTCTCCATCTTCATATTCAAAAACAACAACATCTTATACGTACTTGAACTGAAACGGGTACCACTTCTTCAAAGATCACGAAAAACTCTTAACTGTAAACGCAGTAGGTACTACCTTTCTCTATCCCGGATATCGCTTTTTTTTTGGTACTGAACGATCTAGGTGGTACCCGAGACAAAACAGCTGAAAGTGTTATCGAATTCGACACCCCGAAATCGGTACCGATGAAATCTTCGGCGGTACCTTGCGTGGTACCCGGCGAGGTACTACCGCGATTGAATTGCCGGCCGACAAGTTCATTTGTTTTATTGCACTGCAGAAGTTTGCTAGTCCCATACAGGGTGTCACGATTGATTTGAACTAGTCACTACAAATGTTTTTGAGGTGGTCAAAATGTAAAATGATGAATTTCTATCAACTGCCAAAATAGAAAAAAGTGTGACTATAGAATTAGATGAAACAACTTTTATTGTCGGAAAAGATATGTGACATAATTATTTATTTCTGTGACTTGACAGAGGTGGCTGAAATAATTTCTTAACTTTCGAGAACATTTTTGAGATTTATAGAACTACTGATGAGATTATTTTTATGAAATCTTGGAATTTGTAGAATATTTGTGGTCATTTCAGAACAACCCCTGAAACAACTGAGAGCATTCAAAATATTCTCAAGACTGTGTGTTCGAACATTCCTGGAATATGTTAAAACTTGACAAACGATGAGATTTCCACAAAATATTTCTTGAATATTTTCGAAACGCCATGTGATAAAATGATGCGATTCGGTACAAGAACTAAACTTGAATTTTCTAATTATGACGACGGAATCATAATCTTCGACCCCAAAAACCCCCAGATACCAATTTTGAATAGAATGGGATCATAATTTCAAAACTCGTTCGCCATATTGGATCCGCCATCTTGAATTTTCCAATTTTGACATGAGAATCATAATCTTCGACCCCAAAAACCCGCAGATACCAATTTTGAATATAAACGGATTATAATTAAAAAACTGGTCCGCCATATTGGATCCACCATCTCGAATTTTCCGATTTCGACAAAAGAATCATAATCTCCGACTGCAAAAACCCCCAGATACCAATTTTGAATGGAATCGGATTGTAATTACAAAACTCGTCCGCCATATTGGATCCGCCATCTTGAATTTCTTTTTTTTTGTTCTCATAGGAACCCTCTCCTGACAATAACAAACACAACAAAAAAAGGATTGGTGAAATCGATCAAGCCGTTTACGATTCTATAAAGGACATACACAAACATTCATTTTTGTATACAGCATGTCTCATTTCGAACGCCCCCCCCCCCCCCTATATCTCAGCTATCAGTCGTGCGATCTTTTCCAAATTTGTACGGTATGAATAATCATCAATATGACCAGTTCTTCAAAGACAAACATCATTTTAGACAGTGCCGTACATTTTTATTGAAATTAATAAATCATATTAGGCATTTTTTCACAGGAAAACTGATCTCATAATATTGTTCTTCATGGTTTAAAACTCACATATGTGGATTTTCATAAGATGCCTATGAAGGGTTCCAGAAAAACAGGCCCATCTAAACAGCATTTTTGCGAACGTAATAATTATTTACTCGGAAACGGTGAGTTCAACATAAAAAAGTATAACTCTTCTTTCCTTCCAAATCATGATTTTCCACCTACCGGAGCTATTGAACGTTCCAAAATTCGTAGTTGATTTGAAATCACTATTTATTCGAGACTGAAAATGAAAAAAATGAAGCCAATCCTGTTAATTCGGAATTAGGTAATTTTTTGCATATGGAGGTTCGAAAGCATGGAGAACAATAATATGAGGTTAGATTTCCTGTAAAAAATGCCTAATATGATTTTATGAATAATCGACCCCTTTTTAGTTCAATAAAAACGCACGGCAGTGTCCAAAATAATGTTCATCTCTGAAAAAAATAATCACATTGATGGTTATTCATACCACACCAAATTTGGTTGGAATCGCATGACTAATAACTGAGATATAGAGGGGGTCCGCTTAAAGTGAGACACGCTGTATAAAGATAAGGTTCGTGGCGAAGTAGTGAGGTTTCAGGTTATCACAAGATAGTAGGTTTGCATCTTCCACTGGAGCAAGCTTTTTAATTTTCTTCCTTCTCTTCCATTATACTAGGAATACTCTCAAAATATTCAAAACAGTCCATTCCGAATGTTCATAGAAGGTTCCTAGAATATTTGTATCATATTGTGAGAATATTCTGAGAATATTCAAATACTATCGAAGAATAACCTGGATGGATGGATGTTCTATTGTACTTTCTGGGATGCGGACGCCCCTGGAAATTACTGGAACATTCCTGTTATTTTTAGAATATTCTGGATCATTCTAGAACCTAGAAACTCAGGAATTCATCGTTTGTGGACATGGGAGGAAATTACAACAACTTGCGATTCACGTTTTATTTGATCAACAACTTAGAAAAATATAATTCTTCTGATTCTGACCCACTAAGCAAATTTGGAAGCTATGTTGAAGCAAGGTTGAAGCAATTACTGAAACAGACGTGATCAGCAACATTGCAAATGTTACTTTGTAAATGTAACGTTCCAGCAATGTCACAGCAACATGTAATATTGCTGCAATGCTTCATTATCAAACTTCACCTTCGCAATATTGCTGAACGTCCGTTTCACTTATTGCTTCAACATTGCATCAACATAGCTTTCAACTTTGCCTAGTGAGGAAGTGGTAGAACATCGCATTCTTCCCGAATGTCTGATCTGGAATCAAGCGAACCTCTTCTCGGGCATCTCCCTGAGCACGGCAGCCGCTTTCTCAGGCGTCAGATCCCTCTGAGCCTGAGCCAGCAATTCGTACCCCACCATGAACTTCCTCACGCTAGCCGAGCGCAACAAGGGCGGCAAATACATGCCGTGGAACGTCCAATGGGGTTGGGGCTCGTCCAGAAACTGCCCCGTGGGGGCGCCATGCCACCCCATCGAATAGGGGAAGTTGCACTTGAAAACATTGTCGTATTTGGCCACCAGGACCTGGAGGGTCTGGGCCAGGGTGGTTTTTTGACAGGGGTTGAGGTCCTGGAAGCGCTCCACTTGCTTTTTGGGCAGTACCATGGTTTCGAAGGGCCACAAGGCCCAGTAGGGTACCACCACCAGCCAGTGTTCGTTCTCGTATACTATTCGTTCTTTTTTCTGGATTTCCTTGTTGGCGTAGTCGATGAGCATGGGGGTTTGGTGTTTCTGGTAGTAGTCCCTTAGGTTGGTGTCCTTGATTCTGGGTTCGTTTGGGAGGAAGGAGGACGCCCATATTTGGCAGTGGGGGTGGGGGTTGGAGCAGCCCATCATGGCGCCTCTGTTCTCGAAGATTTGCACCCAGGTGTATTTTTTGCCTGTGTAACAATGTTGATGTGAGTTTCAAAAAGGGTTATTATGTTCTTGACGTTCATTGAATGACATGGAAATTACGTTTTAAACTCGTTTTTTCAACTGTCTATGATAATTCGACTCTGGCGTTGAGTTTTGCTTTAAATAGGATTATTTGTTCGAATTTCCAGAAAGTTTACTGAGAAAAGTTGTTTCCATTCCAATATTACACATGTGTCCCGAATTCGAACGGACCATTGCAACTTTCAGTTGTAATGACCCGAGACAATAATGAGCGAGTAGAAAACTATACTTTATCTAACACCTATTCAAATATAGAAGCCATTCTGAAACCTCAGAAATGAATCTTTGAAATTAAGATAGTTCATATTGCAATATTACAAAATCTAATTTGAAATGCTAATTTCATTAAAAACTTCCTGAAAAATTTGCAATATCGACCAATAAGCAAGTTGTAACTTATTTCAATAATTTTCATCGTGAAAATACTCAACAATTCTGGATCTAATTTTTATTAACATCGGAAATTGTCGTGCGAGCGTATCATCAGTCGACCTTATTAGGAATTATGCTATCATAGATTATGGCATTGTAGTACGTTAAATTAATCATACATTTGCAGATTATTCAATTGAAAACATAAGTATATGCCTCGAAACTAATTATTGCAGAATATTGATGATTAATATAGCTGCTACCGATCGTTCTGATTGGTGATAAGTACTCTATTAAAATTCACTAATTTGAAAACAGTGAATTCTCATTCTTCTCCGTGTTTCTAGAAAGGCGATTAAAACTATGAGAACCATATATATGGTGATTCATTTGAATTTGTCTTGAATTTGCGTGAATTTCCCAAACAGTAGTAATGTTCTGTGCGTCAGAAGAACGCATACCTATACCTACTTATTTGACTCGGCAAGAAAATGATGGGTTGTCACAATATTACTCATTCGTAGTGCCATTATTACTGAATTCACAAGAGAAACAAAAAACGTCAACTGTTGAAGATAGAGGAAGCAATGGATGTTTAAATTGATAGTTGTAGATAAAATCTAATATTACCAGAACCAATGCACTTAGAAAGTAGATAATATCGTTTCAAAGTATCGAAATTTTTTCCTCACCTAATTCCACAGTTTGTTTTATCCACTCGTCAATAACAGCCACCACTTCAGCCAACGTCAATCCTGTCAAATACACATCGGAATGGGGATGATAGCAGATGACCCTGCAAGTAGAGTTCCTTAATATACTTGACACATTTATTCTAACACTTTGACTAGTAATCAGAACATCGAAAGGTTGCTAGGTTCGAATCCCTAGCGAGCAGAGAATTTTTATCCATAAAACGAGTTATAAATTGAAATTTTCTAACTTTCCAGGGAGAGAACAGGGCCTAATGTATAACTTTGTACGTTTAATACAGTGGTTTACTCATTTTATTTCTGTATTTGCTAATTATTAGAAAATCGAACCAAACTATATTTTTTTCAAATTTGACACCATGTCTAGTTCGATCCAGATTTATATAATAAGTAGTTGGAATGTAACCAACGCGTTGCTCAAATAGTGAGAATATTCAACTTCGTGCCTTTTATCTCAAAAACATGAAGGACTGTGAAAATTCTGTTTTCCTACGACCACTATGCAATGAAACACACTGTGTTGTTGCTCAGAAAGTATATCATATCACCATAGCAATGCGAAAGTAAAAACGAACAGTGTGGCAATATTCGATCTACCTATTTAAAGTAATATGGATGATTATGAAACTGAATTATCCGAGGAATTATCATATTTATTATCATTTAATATATATTCATTTTCTTTAGAATTTACATTATGTAATTTTGGCAAAATCTGCGAAATGCTCTCAATGCTGTCATTGCTGTCTATAATGGTGAGGCTCAGGTTCATTCTATCAACCTTGATTCCAACGAAGCACATATTTTACTACTTCTAAGGGATCTTCAACAATATATTAGATTACTATATGCAACCAAGAATACATTCTTATCTCTAACGTCTCAATGAACTCAATGAAAACACCTACATTGAGCTCAATGATCATTGTTGTATTTGCGGTAGTCAAGGTCATCATCTGACGTTGCGATGACATAAAAACTACAGGAAAACATTCCTAACTCAGTTGAGATTGAAAATTAGACATGTTTTCCCGTATTTTTCATGTCATCGCAACGTCTGATGATGACCTTGACTGAGATGTTTATAATACCTCTGGTGTGCCCACTCTTCAATGGTTTCGTCAGACTAGCTCTCGATATGAACAATTGAATGCGAGTTCGGAACGTCGGGTTCCCATATTCGATGATAGATGGCGTGAACGATGAACAATTTCTTGAAGAATTTCAAAATGCGTTTCGAATGTTATAAGGAAGTTGAACTAGACTTTCAAGGATGTGTTTTCCTCCTTTCGGGACCTGAAGAGTCCCTTTGAAGATTCACGAATTCAATAATAGCAGATAAAAAGCATCTAGAGACGGGGCGCAACAAATAATCCGTGCGGAAACATCTTGATCTTGACATATCTGTCACGAGTTTCATGTTTTAGACATATACCTACAAGATTTTGTTCAAATTTCAAATGGAAATATTATTAATTAAGAGCATCAGTAGATTATCAAGCAGGTATTGATATTAGTTGAGTGAGTCAAGTGAGTGTATATTGTGCTTTCATCATGGAGTGACTGCTGCGATGTGTGAGGATTATTCGAGAATCCGAACATTCGTTTTTATGTACCAAAAGTGAGTAAATGAACTATTATCACAGGATTTTCTTGAGTTAGGATTCGTTCATGAATTCACCATTGAATGTCGAAATATGACGCACCGTTTCCATTTGAACAAAAAATAGTGAAAATGAAAATGTGAACTCAAATGTCTGTGTCATGATGCCTGTAAATTTGGTTTGAAACTTCGGAAATTTAGCAAGATTCTCCAACGCCTCGCTATTTTTACATAGTAGGCGATATCGAGAGATTTCAAAACTGTTTCCAATAACACAATTTGACTTTCTATACATCTATACCATGACTACCGCGAATATTGTAAACGTCAAATCGAAAGTGTCAAGTGCATTAAGGAACTCTACCTGCAAGTCCCTTTGGCCGCCCTCGCCCTAAACAAAGGGTCCTCCTCGCTGTGGGGCGGCTCCGGCCCCTCCTCCAGCAGCGCGGGGAAATCGTTGGGGAAGACGTAGGTGGAGTCGTAGCGGGGGGTGATCTTGCCGTTGGCGCGCACCGCCCCCGGGCACAGCGGGTTGGCGGGGTCGTGGCGGGGCACGCGGTCGGGGGCGGGCGGTTCGACCTGGCCGCTCCAGGGGCGCAGGGCGCGGTGCGGGGACACCAGCAGCCATTCGGCCTTGAGGGGGTTGAATCTGAGGTGTTGGTGTTCTGGAAATTGAAGCAAAAGGGAGGGGTGCAGTTTTTGGTAATGAACTCAATATAAAAACAATATATATCTATTCATAATTTTGCAGATATGATGTCAACGTTTGGTTTTTGTACTCTTCTGAAATTTAAAAATATTTTTTTAATTAGCAAAAAAGTAATTTGATAAAAGTGACATTCTATACCCTGTCTCGCCTGATTGCTAGCCTCGGCTAAGGCCTCGACTATAAATTTCCAGACTCGACTATAATAGGACAGTGTTTCGTCCTTGGTACATAAATAAAACATTTCGAACAAGTTTTTATACATTTTTATCATAATATAGTGATCGATAGTGACTATTCATATATGTGTAAACAGTTTTCGCCATTGCCAAAACTGAAGAAATGCATAGTAGTACATAATATAAGTCGTCATGTTTTATCTAATCTTGATATTCACTAGGTAACTCTGTAGGCAGATACTACTAGCTGTTATCAGTATATTTTTAATTATATATGTCTTATGAATTTGACATAATTATATTATTAATTTTTTGACCGAAACATATAGGTGCTATCAAAAATAGTTCAAGGGAAAAAAGTAGTAGGTAGATTTTAGCTCCAGGTTGTGTTGCATACCGACGCGTAGCGGAGGTAGACAAAACCGTGAGCTAAAATCTAATATTTTTCCCGTGTATATTATTAACTACTTATTTCAGTGACATGAAAAAGGACGAACCAATGTTGAGAAGATATCACATTATATTGAAATCAGAAAATTATCGAAGTCAGACTTGAAGTTTTTAACAGTAATGACACCTGAATTTCAGGCATCTTTCTGCAGGCATCTTTATCATTCGTGATAGAATAGAGTCTCAATTCAGAATTTCTTTCCACGCCCTGTATGATGAATGTCAATTTATCATACACCCAAAAGTAATCATATATCTGTTCAGTCTACTTCTGTGATTCTATTTTGAAAAATTGCGAATCTAGTGGTTGTTTAGTAATTTACGTCACCGCGAAGTCGAATGAAATAAGGACTTCTCGCAGTTCTGTCTCAGAGACGGCCGTGTTATTGGCTTATTTTTATTGCATTTTAGGAAGCACAACAAACGCCACCAAGAGTTGTATAATATTTATTTATTTATTTATTTATTTATTTATTTATTTATTTATTTATTTATTTATTTATTTATTTATTTATTTATTCATTTATTTATTTATTTATTTATTTATTTATTTATTTATTTATTTATTTATTTATTTATTTATTTATTTATTTATTTATTTATTTATTTATTTATTTATTTATTTATTTATTTATTTATTTATTTATTTATTTATTTATTTATTTATTTATTTATTTATTTATTTATTTATTTATTTATTTATTTATTTATTTATTTATTTATTTATTTATTTATTTATTTATTTATTTATTTATTTATTTATTGAACAAATAACTTCCAGACAGAATAGGCTCTGGTATAAGGAAGTACATAATTATATACCTATAGGTAAACATAGCATCATTCAAAAGATATCAACAACTGTAAATTGTCAAACAAAAAATATTTGTAAAAAAAAAAAAAAAATAAAAAAAAGGCATGATTAATTTTATCCAGTCCGCTGAGAAATAATCAGTTTTTTTACTTCATTTTTGAATATACCTATATTTCTGCAATTTTTTATATTATCAGGTAGTTTTATTGAATTCAGTTAAGGCTGAATGAGTGAATCTTTTTTGTCCGATTAGGGAGCTAGCGGCGTCAAGATGGAACAAGTTATATTGTCTAGTTTCATGATTATGAATTTCAGAATTCCGTATCAAAATAATATTCGACTTCAATTTTTTATTTATGATATTATATGATATTTTGAGAGTTTCAATTCTATATATTTCATCTATGTGATATATATCTGGGAAAAATGTACCTACTCACTTTCTTCCCGTGGTAATAAAAGTTATTGATGAAAAGTGACATTTTATAATCTGTCAACAGCGATAAAATTTCAAACTTTTTTTCGTCACAGAACAAAATTGTCTGTCCTCGGGTACTCCGGTAAGTAGGTAGGTATAGAGGTAATAGGTATACCTACATATACTTACTAATAACTATAAAATAAATGACTATAATAATGTATTCGTAATATTATTGAAGCATGAAGCGCTTAAAGTCATGTAATTTTTGGAGTGTTGCTCGTCATAATAGGTATTTTGATTAAATTAGATAGGAATGTCAATAATTTCTTCAACCTCTCACCATCTCTGTTGAAAGCCATGTTGCAGTTGAACTACTTTCTCTAGGGCCACGGCTACGACTACGACCGCTAACCTCTAATTGCTCTAAAATGAAGTTCACTGCCACCTAATTTATGAACTGAAAGTAGGTAACATCAGACTCATCAGAGCAAAATCATTCTCTTCAAGTGTCTCATTGCATGCATGAGTTGATTTTAGTGATAACACTGATAACAATTACTGATTATTTTGATTGGAAATGAGGTTTGTTTGAAATACCTAGTACTTGTCTACATGACTTGTGTATCGAAGTACAATTGTGAATTCTCAATAATAATTATTAAAATTATGCTAATAAAACTTGCAACAATATTATAATCAGCTATTTGCATGCCTGTCAGATATGCATCCAACAATACACGTATCTGAGATTATTAAGTTTGTACCTTGCTACATGTACGTTCGGCAGACATATTTATTAATAAGTTTTTATCACCGACCTGAGGTGATAGTTCCTACAGAATATCAATTATTATTGTCCATTTCGTTATATTGAATCGTTTCCTTTCGATATCTACTTTCATTCAATATCAATTTGGTCAAGATTCGCTCCGGAATTTTACGGCAAGCTGTAAGGTAGCCACTGCCTTCTCAATATTTCAACATCGTCATAGAAATCCGGCCCACCTTTTCCGGCCCTAAGCCACCTATTCACAAGGTTGACAATCATTCGTGTCACAAGTTTCGAATCGATATCAAATTTCCTTGTCATTCCTCTCCTACTAATCTTCGTTCCAATCGCTCCCTTTCTCTTATTAACTCACAGATAAAAAAGGGGACGTCGTGGTAGTGTTATTTCGTTGAAATTCGGGATAGATTTGACTCTTGTGACCTCAAATCGTCCTCCAAGTAGTTGCGGTCATCGTGCGACGATCTTTGATCCTACAATAGAAGAATTCAAATTTGTGTGATTATTACTGATTATCTGTGTAAGTACTTCACTGATTTAATAAGTACCTGATGCAATATCTGTTACAATGGCAATATGTTACCAAGCAGAACAATATGTAGATAGATAATTATTCATCTGATCTGGTGCCAGAACCGACCTACCAGAAACATTATAGAGTACTTTTGAAAAAGGCACAGTATTTTCATGAATTGCCTTATTACAAATGTTCTTGTATTTGATTATACTAGATTATATACCTATCTACGTCCTACAACTCCTACACCTTCTCCATATAGGTTTAGGGCTCGGTTTAGGGGTATCTGTTATTTCTATCCTAGTCTAGCGGGTAATTAGGTACCTACCTACCTACTTACCTAATTGATTATCAAGATTTGCCTCTGAAAAGGTAACAGAAACAGGGTGCTACGTATTTTTTGAAATAACTATTATACAGGGTGATTCAAAATTGTGTAGATATTTCAAGTACTTATTATTGTTGGGATGAAATTAAGACTGGTTCTTCATATAAACATGTGTCCATAAATTCACCTCCTCCAGTTACCATGTAATCACCCTGTATGAGGCTTTTTTCAGATTTTTTTCCTATATTTCACCCTTCCAGAACCTCCTGAGCAAGAGTTTTTGAAAGGTAACGTGTCAAATCTCCTCTATTAATCTTTTGCTTGGATATAACCTGAATTTGAATTCTGAGAATGTAGCTTTTATGAAATTATGCCACCAATATAATATGTTTTGTAGTGAATTTGGAAACACCCTGTGTTTGAGGAGAAAATTAATTTGACGACGCAAATGACATTTGTTGGCAACTCACTCTTCGCGCAGACCAGTTCGATTTTTATTTCATCAATAAATACCTTGTCAAAAATTCAGATCTATTTTATGTTATACGAATTCCAAGAAAGGATAATGAAATAGACCCAGGACGTCAAAACATTATTTACTTTTAGTAAACAGAAAAGTAACCTATTTCCGAGACTATTTCCAGCAAAATAGAAACAAACAAAACAAACATTCTCATAAAAAAATAACCATATGTTCCTAATTCTCAATTCAAAAATACAAATATCTTTACTTATAAGATTTCAGTATTCAAAAAACAGAAACGAATAATAAAAATGAACAACAAAAATACAAAACCAATGATTTTTCTTATTTTGTAAAATCAATTTAAATAGAGCTTGCCGAAATATCATGCAATTTATATGAGTGTATGTGATTAACTTGAGATTAAAAATAGATCAATATGCAAATCAGGAGATCTACTGAGAATTCTGTAGAACTGGCAACCCTGCAGCGGACGAAAAGTGTTTGCGGACGAAAAGTTAGTGTCTGCGAACGGAAAGTACTTACCTTCGGAAATAGTCGGTTTTTCGTTCGCAAATTAGAACATAAAATGTGATTTTTTGTAGAGGTCGACGAAAATCGAGACGAAAACGAATTTTCGAGTAAGTACTAGAGATGTTTTTAAGATCATCAGAAATGTTAATCGATCCATGCAATGTGCAATACGCGGAGAAATGAATGCTTGAAATTTTTGGTAGGTACTACATTAAATAAAGTATGTAAAATATTGTTCCCTAAAACATTTTGATTTTGAAAAAGTATGCATAACATTATATTATGTAGAAAATATCTAAAGAAGCCTTGCTGTGCAGAAAAATATTGCTGGTTTCTAGTTGCTATGTTGAAAATTTCGCTCAAAAGTTTCGTGAGCGATTTTCCCAAATACACAAAACAGGTTCATTGAAATAAAATGATATTGAAATAAAAAATCCCCCAATATTGTTCATTTATTTTCTTTTTAGTCAAGTTGATTCTGTAAATCCAGCATAACAATCTCAGTCTATGTATTTTATAGTCCGAAGTCCATTTGTTGAATGTTTTTTGATGAAAGAATGTTATGTAATCAAATTATTTTGATTGATATGAGCCCAGTTAATCTTGTTTTGGTTCTGAGAATAAGCTTTATCAATATTTGGATTGATTCAATAATAGCGAGCCCCCTGTTATGCGTCACTATCTAAAGTGCCTTGTTTATCATAAGGTGTTCTGATAAAAAGGCTTAGGTATCTGTATATAATTTCAAAGAACTATTTTGTTTGCTGGATTCCAGTCGGCACATTCTAGCAAGTATTGTGTCCAATATTATTTTTACTCTATCGAGTGTACTACCAACTTTCATTGAGGTAACTATTCTTTCTGTTGATTTTTTTTTTGTATATTGAATACTAATACTTTGATTGATATCATACCATTGCTTGCATAATAACATGGGTCTTGAATAATCTCTGTAGGTCAAATAACATTTTTCTGCAACCGGAATAATAGTCGTCCATTTTTATTCCAAAATTAGCACTTGAATTGACGTTTCTATTACTGACAAACATACATACCTATGCTTAGGCAACACTTCTAGTTCCTAGGAGCTAAAGTTGAACATTAGCTCCTAGGAACTAAAAAGATGTAGTAGTTCATTAAGAATAAACAACATTGTTAGGGTTGGTTATTTGGGTTGGGACGCATACCTGATTTGTTTCTGATTTCGGCAGATTTGGCATCTCATACTCATGCTGGAGATATAGTTGAGTATTTTTGTTATGATCAGGATAGCCTTCAAGATTCACATTCTTGCTAGATTTGTAGTTTGTCCGTTATTCTCGGGATCTGATTGATTGGATAACTTGTTTATGAATAATCACGGCCAGCAATACGTTTTTGTCTCACACAATGATATTGTTTACTTTCATTTGATTACCGAGCCAAACACAGTGGAATATAGAGCGAAATTAATAATCGCTATTATTATTGTTGATATGCTCACTAGCCTAACATTTTCCACTTCTTTTTCCTACCTGGCACTGGCGCGGTATTTGTAATCAGGGCTGGCACCTGGTCCAAATGAATTCATCGATATTGCGAATATCAAAACTTCTTTCTCTCTCACACTCATTGAGCAAATGGAATCTTAAAACGCGAATATCTGCGTAATCGTTTGAAATAACTCTATCAAACCCGGTATCGATGAATTCGTTATGACAATTCCTAACCGATTATGGAATACAATACAGGGTGTCCCATTTAAAAATCAAAAGTTGGGGTCGTTTCCAGTAAAAATGGAAGTAGTAGAACAAAAATTGTTTCATCAATTAATAAGCAATTTGGTATACTAGCTGCCCACCAATTTTCAGAACCCTATCTCGAAAAATTCTAAAGTTACAGTCCTGACTGATTTTTGTGCACTTCTCTGTATATCGAGATTTTGTCATTAAATTTGGCACGAATTGGATTGAGATTTTTTTGCAGTCTACCAACACCCGAAAACATGACCACCCACTGGAACTACCCTGAACCTGCTCTGCAAGACGAACTTCGCAAGATCGCTAACGCCATTGTGGCACCCGGAAAGGGTATTTTGGCTGCCGATGAATCCGTTTCGACCATGGGCAAACGTTTGGCCGATATCGGTGCCGAAAACACAGATGAAAATCGTCGCAAATACAGGTACGCTCTACAACTCGAAAAAAAATCTACGTTCTTGTAGCCAAAATTGCAACTTTTGAGGACCACTTTGTATCAATGAATATGTTGATCATGCATTATTTCAAACATTTTGACCACTGTTTGAATGACAAGAACACACAGCCAATGAAATTAGATCAGAAAAAAAAAATAGAAAAATCATTAAAAAGGAACATCCTCAGATATAATTATGAACATGAAAAAATGGATATATATACAGGGTGTCCGCTGAAAGGAGGTCAATCCATTAACCACATATTCCTTGAACAAAAACAATATGAGTTTCTAAATATCATTTTTCATTTTAGCCCTTCATATTCGGTATACAGGGTGTCAAAGTTGGAAATTAAAAACTGTTTTTTTCTAATTCCTCGAGTATTTGATAAGATATTAATCTCAAAATTGGTACATTACTTCAGCACAAAGAGTTACATCGTGTGAGGAAAACAAAACAGAAAATAACTGTCAAATATTCAAGATACTGGGGGTCAAGTTCACACTTACCACCATATTTTGTTTGTACGTGCGCTAATGACTTCCTATCTATTTTCTTTCAAGTTTTCAATCATTTTTGAGTATTTTTTGTTTCCTGTGAAATTTCGATTGAATCATTTGTTTTTAAGATAATTCGAATAGTACTGGTTATTGTTTGATGCCTATGCGGCTTAGGTAATCTCATAATGTTCACATACTCCTATTTATTTCGTCGAAATTGAAAGAGGGCGTATCTTTTTACGTACGAAAAGGTAAATATGGAAATACCGGGTGCTCGGAGCAAATGTACTAAAATAATTTTTACAAAAAAAAAATTTAAAAAGTGTAAAAATTATTTTAATACTCGCTCTGAGCACCCGGTATTTCCATATTCACCTTTCCGTACGTAATAAGATACGCCCTCTTCCAATTTCGACGAAATAAATAGGAGTATGTGAACATTATGAGATTACCGTAAGCCGCAAGGCATCAAACAATAACCAGAACTTTTCGAATTATCTTAAAAACAAATAATTTTATCGGAATTTTCTGTTTTGTTTTCCTCACACGATGTAACTCTTTGTGCTGAAGTAATGTACCTATTTTGAGATTAATATCTTATTAATTACGCGAGTAATTAGAAAAAAACAGTTTTTAATTTTCAACTTTGACACCCTGTATATCGAATAAGAAAGGCTAAAATGAAAAATGGTATTTAGAAACTCATATTATTTTTGTTCAAGGAATATATGGTTAATGATTTGACCTCCTTTTAGCGGACACCCTGTATATATAAAGAAATACATTGAGAATTCGCATTCTCAATGTGATGAAAATATCAATTCTTTCTCGGTTTATTCAACAGAAAACTACTACTTTCCTGACTATATGCCACGACGAATATTGACTTATATCTATTGAACACACACGATAAGAATTTGAAAACAAAATCTTCTGAAGTAGAGAATTTGCATTCTCCTTCATATAATATCATTCTGAATATTCAACAGAAAACAACTACATTCCTGGCTATTTGCGACGTCGAACATTGAATTATATCTGTTGAACATCCAAAAAGAGAGCATGATCCTCTGAAAGTAGATGGAACAAACATTCAGAAACTGAGAAGAAATTGAAAATTGTGAGGCCGTTGAAAAGTATGACAAATCAAAATCGATCGAAAATTTTCGAAATTACTTTTCTAGTGTTAAGCAGTTCATTTTCATTCTTGAAGAAATATTTGAACAGTAGACCCCATCTTTTCATCGCTTGGAGCGGAATCTACTATCAATTTTTTGTGCTTTCAGACAACTTCTTTTCACTACTTGCCCAACTATCGGCGACTACATTTCTGGAGTTATCCTCTTCCATGAAACTCTCTATCAGAAAGCCGATGACGGCACTCCTTTCCCGGAGTTGTTGAAACAGCGCGGAATCATTCCCGGAATAAAAGTCGACACCGGCGTTGTACCGTTGTTCGGTAGCCAAGATGAGTGCACTACCCAAGGTAAAGATTTTTCGTGCTTTTCCCAACAAAAAATAAATGTAGCTATACCTATTTTCTTCAATTATAATTGAGAATGTATTGATTGTAATTCATAAGGCATTCCATTAAGTAGGGGTCAAATTCATGACCTTTCACAATCCCGACCTTAGTAACCCATTACATAACATATAACTGTTATTAATCTTGAATTTCAATTTTTTATCGACGAATTTTGATTTATAACGGACACAATCTTAGTCTATTTTTACGAATGTAGTTGATGCTCTCGGAATTATAATTGCTGTTATCTTAATTTCAATTGACTTTGCTAAATTCGAATGTTCCTTTCTGAATATCAATTGATGTGTTCTGGATTTTAGTTGATTAATCTGATTTACAGTCGATGTATTCTGACTTTTAGTTGACTAATATGAATTACAGAAGAAGAAGAAGAAGAAGAAAATAAACTTTATTGGACATAAAATAAAAAATACATTATGCCAAATGGCTAACGACCAAAGTCTTCCTGTCAGTATATACTAAATCATTTTATGTATTTCAATTGCATTATTTGAATAGTGATTTTTACAAGGTAAATTATGAAAAAAAAAAAGAAAAAAAAAGTATGAATTACAATAATCAATGCTTGCTGAATTCGTCAACTACTTATTGTACCAGAAGGTATTCTTGAGTAGGAGTTTTATTTTTTTATATTTTTTATGGATTATGTAGGGACTATCAAAGTATTCTAAATTTGAATCTGAATCACAGGTAATCCTCAGGCACTGAAATGAGTCTTCCTAAATGATTGAAACCAGTAAGAAAATGTGTATAAAATCAGTTGAATTTTCTTGAATAGGTGGAAAACAAAAAAGATGAAAGGTCTCGGGTTTGAATCCCATACTCCACCTACATTTTTTGGGGGGGGGGGGGGGATTATTCCTTGCGTCCTGTCTCTAGGTGCGTCTTTTCGTGTAGAATTGTATTCCTGCGAGTTTGTCATGAAAATTGATCATCAGATACTGGCCTCAGTTTTCTACGACATATGTCAAATGTCACTATAATGTCAGTGCCAAGTTGACTTTCATAATAATAATAACATTCATTGATCCCTATAGAAACATACATGTTTATGGCTACTAGGTAATTGTTATACTAGTTTCCGGATGAATTTGCGAACCAAATTTTCTTAAATGAAGCAGAAATATAGTCTAGGGATAAAAAAGAAAAATGTAGGTGTAAAGGTTATTATTTGAGGAAAATTATTTCTAAAGCACGCCAAACGTCAATCTAGAAATCTAGATATTCAACAAAAAATAGTCTAATCTTTAATATGATTTTTCCAATATTCGATCAGGTCTGGACGATTTGGCGAAACGTTGCGCCCAATACAAGAAGGACGGCTGCCACTTCGCCAAGTGGCGTTGCGTCCTCAAAATCAACGAGCACACTCCGTCGCTGCTCGCCCTCGAAGAGAACGCCAACGTTTTGGCCAGATACGCGTCGATCTGTCAGGCCAATCGCATCGTGCCCATCGTCGAGCCGGAAATTCTGCCCGACGGGCCGCACGACTTGGAGAGGTGCCAGAAGGTCACCGAGACCGTCTTGGCGTTCGTCTACAAGGTAAAGTATGCGCCAATAAATGACAATCCTAAACGCCAAACACGAATGAATGGATGGAATCGCGAATGGTGGGGATAATAACAGGCACTTGTACATTTGCGGATGAGTTCTCAGACTTAACAAAAATAGACATACACTGCGATAAATTCATGAATCATTAGAAAGTATACGCCAGGAATCCTAAATGCCAAACATGGATGAATGATTGGACTCGCCGATGGTGGGGATAATTCTGCGGAATCATTATTGTTGAGAGAACTGACATCGCGCGGCACCACTGCGGTGGACTCTATGTCGTACCGGCACCTTTGGAAAGTGTTCAATTTAATGTTGAGAGGTCAGCCTTCAGACTAATGCTGCTATTCTGTCACCAGTTCAGACTCTGTAGGCGATGTATAATTCCATATTAAATTTATAGAATGCAAGGAAATCGGTATTCTGCCAATACCATTTCGATATATTTCTAAAAAGTGACATTACTTACAATAGACACCGCGATTCATTCATGAATCATTGAAAAGTATTCGCCAATATTCCCAAACGTCAAACACGGATAAATGAATAAAAATCCTGAATGGTGGGGATAATAACAGGCACTTGTTAATTTGCGGATGAGTGCTCAGACTAAATAAAAATAGATAGACATTGGATTCATTCATAAATCATCTAAAAATATTCTCCATCAATCATTAACGTCGAGCAAAAAGATATGAATGAAATCGCGAATGGTGGGGATAGTAACGGATATTTGTTCATTTGAGATGCTTAGACTAAAGAAAAATAGATAGACACTGTGATACATTCATGAATCATTAGAAAGTATATGCCAACAATCCCAAACGCCAAACACGGATGACAGAATAGAATCGCGAATGGTGGGCATAATTCTGCGAAATTATTATTGTTGAAAGATCTGACGTTGCGTGGCACCACTATGTCGATCGTGATTCACCCTATGTTGGACAGGGACCTTTGAGAAGAGTTCAATTAAATGTTGAAAGTGGTCAGCCATCACACTAGATAACAATAGACACTGCGATTGATTCATGAACCATTAAAAAGTATACGTATGAGATTGTGAGAAAAATTTTGTAGACCGATCAAATTGTATTTTTCCGAAATCATGAATCCGGTAGAAGGTTTCTCAGCGGGATATTATGTTAAGATGGGCTTAGAAGCGAATCTGGAATTTGCTGCCTTGTATCAGGATCGTTCAGGTTGAAAAACGCGAAAAACATCGAAATGTTCGGAGTTTTTCCGGTTTTTCGGTTTTTCGCTCATATCTGGTAAATGTACCGGACTAAAAATAGAGTATTCAGAGTTGAAGAGCATAAAATTCTGCTCCAAATGACGTATCTATGCGCTCGTGTTGTTGCCAAGCAACATAATTTGCTTCTCAAAATCAAAGGAATTTATATTTCCATAATCATCGATACACTTGTTGTATAACTTACGATAAGCACACGTTGTCTCTGGCTCGTAATTGGTCAGATTATGTTATTTGTGAAATAGACTAGAAACTATTGAGTGAAAGAGGTTGTGAGACAGAGATTGTATGAAAAAGATTGTGAGAAAGAGAAAGAAATTGTGGGAAGGAGGATGTGTGAGAGGAATTGCCAGAAAGAGAAAGAAATGGTGAGGAAGAGGTAGTGTGAAACAGATTGCGTGAAGAAGATTTTGTGAAAAAGATTGTGTTAAAGAGAGATTTTAGTCGGTGAAACCTTCTACTCTAAATAGATTACGTGAAAGAGATTGTGAGACAGAGATTGTATGAAGAAGATTGTGAGAAAGAAATTGTGAGAAAGAGAATGCGTGAAAGGGATTGTGTGAAAGAAATTTTGAGAAAAGGAAATAAATTGTGAGGAAGAGGTAGTGTGAAACAGATTGCATGATTGCAGATTGTGTTGAAGAGAGATTTTAGTCGGTGAAACATTCTACTCTAGAAAGATTGCGTGAAAGAGATTGCATGAAAAAGATTGTGTGAAAGAAATTGTGAGACAGAGATTGTATGAAGAAGATTGTGAGAAAGGGATTGTGTGAAAGAAATTATGAGAAAGGGAAAGAAATTGTGAGGAAGAGGTAGTGTGAAACAGATTGCATGAAAAAGATTGTGTGAAAGAGAAATTTTAGTCGGTGAAACCTTCTACTCCCCTTTCAACTGTCTCCTGTCGTGCAGGCTCTCGCCGATCACAACGTCTACTTGGAAGGCACCCTCCTGAAACCCAACATGGTGACCGCCGGACAATCGGCCACCGTCAAGGCAGGCCCCGCGGAAGTCGCTCTGGCTACCGTGACGGCCCTGCAGCGCACCGTGCCTGTCGCCGTGCCCGGAATCACCTTTTTGTCGGGCGGCCAATCGGAGGAGGAGGCCACCGTCAATTTGGACGCGATGAACAAGTGAGTAGAGGTGATGTACGGCGGGGAGGGGATTCCTTATGAAGTTTCAACTAAGTTTTTCAAAATGGTTGAAATATTGTTATTTTGTTTATAACATTATGGTTGACGACAGTGACCTCATCAGTTTGGTACAGCAGTACTCCTTCATTTACAACAAAACAGATCCCAAATACATGATTCTGCACATGCGTATATATTATATATATATACATTAAGTTGTGTATGAACACCTATGGATAATTTTTAAGGCAATATTAAGTTAGGTGTTAAGTTAGGACTAGCATGAATTCACCATAAGTGAAATTACTGTTTTCCATACGAGTGTATACTGTGGTATTGTACTTGTGGTTTTGCAATTGTTCGAGACTGACCTAACTGTTTCAGAATGTTCTAATACTAATAATAATAACATTTATTGATCCCAAGAAACATACAATGTTTATAGAGGGAAACAACAAAAAAAATAAAATAAAATCAAATATGCAATACAATGAAAGATAAACAGTTGAATCAGAATTAATTGATACCAGGGGAGAGTTAAATTGATAAAATATATTTCTTCAGTTCACACTTAAATTTTGTGACGAATCTAATAGATTTTATTCTGTTGGGTAGACTATTATAAATATTTATTCCACAAAAATACAATGATTTTTTCCCGAATTGGGTTTTTATTTTAACAGTTTTCAAATTTTCACTTTGTCTGGTGTGATGCTCATGGGTATCAGAATTGATATTGAAAGTAAGATTCGAGTGCTTTTTCTTATTTTTAGTGAAATGAATGAAAATGCATAATTTCATTTTGAAGAGAGAGTCAATATCTAGTAGATCTCTTGGTTTGTATAGTCTAGATGTTGATTCCAGAAATGGTAGTTTATAAATACATTTTATGGCTTTATTTTGAAGAGATTTCAGAGGTTTCAAAACAGATTTTGCTGCAGTACCCCAGATCGATATCAGATACTGCAATTTAGAGTAAATCAAACTGAAATAAATTAATTTCAAGTATTTAAGAGGTATAAAAGACCTCAATTTGTATAATATACCAATAATGCGAGATATTTTTTTCCTGAGCAATTGAATATGCGATGACCAAGATAGAGTCTGGTCTATAGTTAAACCTAAGAGTTTGGAGTTTTTTGTAGGATTTATACAAAAATTCCCGAATTTTAACGGATCTATTTGGTTATCAGGTATAACTCTTTTCGAGATGAACATAAAAGAATATTTATCGAAATTGAGTGTCAATTTATGATCTTGTAACCATAATGTTATTGAAGCGAGATCTTGTTCCATTTGGTTTTTTATTTCTTGTATATTTTTTCCGTAATAAATGAGAGTTGTGTTAGGAAATCTGCCAGAACGTTCGAGAATATTCCAAGTTGCTATAAAATGCTACGGACTATTCTAGGTTGTTTTAGGAGATTCTAAAATGTACCAAATTACTTGAGAATTTTGTATAATCTTCCGAAATGTTATAAAATCTTCCAGGCAGTTTTAGAATGTTACAGTGCCGAAAAAATGAATAAAGAATATTCCAGATCATTCTAGAAGACCCTAAAATGTTCCAAACGGTTCTAGAATGTTCAACACTGTTATCATCACTGTTGAATAATTGATCCATATTAACTTTGACTCGTTGGAAATACAATTGAAAGGATGTAGATGAGATTTTTGGAATGTTATTTCAGATTCCAAGGCAAGAGACCGTGGGCCCTCACCTTCAGTTACGGTCGCGCTCTGCAGGCTTCAGTGCTCCGCGCTTGGGGCGCCAAAGACGCCAACGTCAAAGCCGGTCAAGATGAATTGCTGAAACGTGCCAAGGTGAGAAAACATTTTTTTCTCCAAACGACATAGAACATATGACACTCAACAGGTAGCAGTGGTGTACTTTCTCTGCTTAGGCAGGAAAAGTTTGTTGCAATGCAAAGTTCCAAATAATTTGAATGAAATTGGTAATCAAAATTGACACTGACATTGGGTGAATACAAAATGATGGGGGTTTTCAATGAAAAAATCACACAAAATTGGTTTCATAACATTCGGCGAAAAAAATTATACGTTTGACATAGCAGCAAAGTAAATTGAGCTCTTTTCTACCTTGAACGAGAGAGAGGAAAGTTCTCTACTCTTCCATCTTTCTCTTCAACGTGTCCGAATTGAAATATAGAGGGGTCCGATAGATTTTTCCTTGTCTAACATCTAGTTCGGGCCACTGAACTATTTTTTAATTCAACAGAGTGTTAAATTAACGATATTAACAAAATAAGTCAAGATAAGTATGATATAATCTGTAATTTCATTTAAAAAATTTGAAAGGTTATCAGTCAATGACATTTATGACATAGACATATCACATCATTATAATCTGAACTAACTGAAATATCTCACTAGAACTGAACTGAATCAGTCTTTTTTTTTGTCGAGGTGGTTTAAATCCTTTATGGACACCATATGTATGGGTCCTGTCCTCCATATGATAGTGTGGGGTTCCCTTGACTCTAGCCAGGGTTTACCCACTAAAAACTCCACCCCGTTAGTAGGCTTGTCTGACCATATCTCCAACGACACTTAGGCCTATGGTGGCCCATTGTATCTGACCTACTAGTTCTTTATTGTGCCCACTCCATTATCTCTGTACCTTGAACAAGTCACAAGTACAAGTCTGTACAAATCCTTCACTGGATGTGAGTTGAATACTTCTGGTTCGCGAACTGGTTGCCCAAAGATCTTCTGTCTTCTGCCGTTCAATGCCTCACATCGGCACAGTATATGTGCTACTGTTTCTGGTTCCTTGCCGCATAGTCTGCAGCTTGGTTCTCATATTAAGTATGTCCCTGTCCACTATTATGACGATGCTCATATGTCCTGTTCCTATGTTAACAACATTGCCCAGTGTCTCGCCTCTCCCTGTACCATCAAGTGGAGGGGAGGCAGATCCAGTAGTGTTTCCATGGCTGCGGTTGGCGTTGACTTCATAGCCCCCGTGATTCCTAGACATGCAAGTCTTTGTATCTTGCTCAGTCTTGTTATGGATCCTCTTTGTAGTGTCTTCTGCCACCATACCAAAGAGGCATATGTTATGGAAGGCATCACCACCCTGTTATACAACCAGTATTTGGTTATTATGTGTTCTTTGGAAAGAATTTGATTAAATTAGAATGTATGTTAACTGATTCAGTTCAGTCCAAGTGAAATATGTCAGTTCAGAAAGAAAGAATATCATTATTCGCGATGGAAAATAGGCGTACGCCACCTATCGGAGTTCTTGAAAGCTGTCAAAGCGGCATATGTTTACTTTGTTTTCATTGGTTCACATTTGTTTTTTGTTTGTGCTTATTGGTCCCATCATCAAAACAAACAGCTCAGAGTTCAAGTTGTTACCGTCAGGTAGAGTGACGTGTTATTTTCTATCGCGAATAACATCGAAAATGGTTCAGTGGCGCCGACTAGAGGTTAGACAAGGAAAGATTTATCGTACCTCTCTACATTTCAATGCGGCCAGGTTGGTAGCTTTGAAGAGAAAGATGGAAGAGGAGAGAACCTTCCTCTCTTTCGTTCAAGGTAGAAAAGAGCTCAATTGGCAGCAGTGGCGGCTCGTGACTTTCATGACAGAGGAGGCTGAATGATATGAGATTTATTGTGAAAAACAACTCTCTACTCACCCAAATATCAGTTAACCTAAACTCAATACTTGAAGAGATGTGTTCCTGTGATTTGCAGTGTCTATCCAATCCGCGAGGCAAATTTTTCAAATCATTATATCCTAATCGCCCCCAACATGATGACTTATCGGTTGAAAATAATACGCAGTACCAACAAAATAGCTTATTCCTTACCTCAGATCCCGTCGACCAGATATATTTTTTATAATTATCAGAATTGAACGAACTATTCTGTTTGTTACCTGTTACAATCAGATTATTTAATTCCGGTGTCGGACGTTTGTTTTTCACAATTAATTTATCTTCATTAGACAAAGCACTGAATGGGTTCACCAAAAAGTATTCCACTAAATCGCAATCGTTTAAAACACTCATTCTTCAGAAATTTATAGAGCCCCTGACCATTAACCTAACATAAACATAAACAACGCACTCGCGTTTGTCCGCAATTCGGGAAGCGACACGACAAACACGTGCTATTCGGGCATTTGCATTGTGCGCGTAGGTTGCGAATTGTGAAGGAGTCTAGCCTCCTATAGATGTTGCCAGTTGAATATTTTACGCGTGATTTGCAGACTTCAACGTGTGATGCGTGGGCAAGCACTGTTGCCAATTCAAAAATATTTACCTAAAAACAGGAAATAAAATCGAAATCCATGTATTTTGGTGTCCTTTTAATGAGAAATACTGTTAATATTATTGATTATTATTTATACTTATGGACACTGTTCGATTTTCGAAAATTCTTCTGTACCTTGTGGTAGTATTATTAGGAAAATTAGTGTTCACAACTCGCTCGAAAATGCATGTTTTTTTTACCTACAGTAATTGATGTTGTTTTTTTGTTGTTTTTTAGGCCAACAGTGAGGCTTCCTTGGGCAAATATGTGGCAGGTAGTGTGGAGGGAAAAGCTGGAGATACTGGTCTGTTCGTGAAGAATCACGCCTACTAGAGGGGTCTACGATGATTATAATAATATTTTAGCCTGAAAGTAAATTGTTAGTATTTCGGGAAACCTGTTTTTGTTTGAGGAGAGACAATTCTTGTATATATTTATTATTTATAGAGATTTTTACGAAAATTGATTGTTTACATCTATTTGTGTTACAGAATATCCATTTTATGTACTATACAGAACTTGTCACATTACGAATTGATATCTATCATATGTTTGTTTTCGAAAAAAAATCAAGTAATAAAATGTATTCATCATATCCATGTTTCTTTCATTTAATACTACTCTAGATAAATGAAAATGAATTGAAACTAATGTTTAAAACTCAGGATCTTTTGCTAAAACAAAATGTGCTCTATTGAGGGGAGTTATCATCTTTGATGCGCGTTTATTTTTCCTAAAATTGCTTATATCTGGAAAACTATTAGAGGTGCAGAAAAATCAATTTCAGATTCGTGTTTAGCACGATGAAACACCCTGTATACAAGTTTTCTGAGTATTCTGAGGCCTCTCAGAAATCTGAAGAAGTCATTTTTCTGACCCAAAAATCAACATTGTCCTAGAGTGTTCAAATTTATTGGTATTTAGGGCCATTTTGGCATTCCTTAGTGCGGTCTAAAAGCACGCAGCTCTCTAGTACCAAAATTTTAAAAAATGGTAATTAATGACGTTTTGTTTCGAACCGAATTTTGTATTCACCCAACATCTCTGAAACCAATGCAAAATCGAGTTCGTAGCAGTATTCTGGAGACGAATTGGGATGCGTCGAAGAAATTTTCATCGATTTTTAGGCGCGTTTATATTTCCTAAAACTGGTTTATATCTCTAAAACTATTCTAGATAAATTAAAACCGATTTCAGAATCGTGTTTAGCACGACGAGAACGCCCAGTATACAAGTTTTCAGCCCATTCTGAGGCCCTATAGTTGAAAAATGTTCAAAGGGGTTAACCTTCTTTCATTTTCAGACCCAAAAATCAACTTTGTCCTAGAGCGATCAAATTTGGTATTTAGGGCCCTTTTGGCATCCTCTAGTACGGACTAGAAGCACAGCTTTCTAGTCCCAAAATTGAAAAAAAGGTAATTTTTGACCCAGTTTCGGACCGAATTTTTTATGCACTCAACACCGCTGAAATGAATGCAAAATCGAGTTCAAAGCAGTATTCTGAAGACGAATTGGGATGTGTGGAGAAGTTTTCATCGATTTTTAGGCGCACCTATTTTTCCTAAAATAGCTTATATCTCGGAAACTATTAGAGATAAAGAAAAATCGGTCTCATATTCTTGATCAGCACATCGAAAACACCCTGTATACAAGTTTTCAGTCCATTCTGGGGCCTGTCTGGAATCGAAAAAAGTTCAAAGGGGTTAACCTTCTTTCATTTTCAGACCCAAAAATCAACTTCGTCCTAGAACGTTCAAATTTGGTAGTTAGGGCCCTTTAGGCATCCTCTAGTGCGGACTAGAAGCACAGCTCTCTAGTATCAAAATTGAAAAAAAGGTAATTTTTGACCTCGTTCCGGACCAAATTTTTTATGCACAGTATGCACTCAACACCTCTGTAATGATTGCAAAATCGAGTTCATAGCAGTATTCTGGAGACGAATTGGGATGTGTTGGAGAAGTTTTCAGCGATTTTCAGTCACAATTATTTTTTCACAAAATTGCTTATATTTCGAAAACTATTAGAGATAAAGAGAAACCGATTTCAGATTAGTGTTAAGCACAACGAGAACACCCTGTATACAAGTTATCAGTCCATTCTGAGGCATGTCTGGAATAGAAAAAAGTTCAAAGGGGTTAACCTTCTTTCATTTTCAGACCCAAAAATCAACTTTGTCCTAGAGCGTTCAAATTTGGTAGTTAGGGCCCTTTAGGCATCCTCTAGTGCGGACTAGAAGCACAGCTCTCTAGTCCCAAAATTTAAAAAAAGGTAATTTTTGACCCCGTTTCGGACCGAATTTTTTATGCACACAACATCACTGAAATGAATGCAAAATCGAGTTCATAGCAGTATTCTGGAGACGAATTGGGATGTGTTGGATAAGTTTTCATCGATTTTGAGGCGCTTCTATTTCCCCTAAAATTAGCTCTTATATCTCGAAAACTATTTTAGATGAAGAAGAATTGATTTCAGAATCGTATTGAGCACGACGAGAACGCCCTATATACAAGTTTTTATCCAATTCTGGGAACTGTCGATAATCGAAAAAAGTTCAAAGGCCTTATTAAACTTGTTTCTTTTTCAGACCCAAAAATCAATTTTTTCCTAGAGCGTTCAAATTTAGTATTTTGGGCCACCAGCGCATGAATATAACGGCAATGGCTAGTACATTCATCAATGGTAGAAATAATATATGAAAAAACATTGGAATGAATTCATTAGCATAAATCTGTAAACGTGGTTTTGTCATCATTTTTTAGTAATGGGGTTTGTCACAGATAATATTCACATCACTAATTTTACTATACCAATATACCCACCAAATTATTTGACGCACAAATGCATAAAATAATGTGAACAATTCAAAATATTGCGTGAGTTGTTCCCGAAGAGGAATGATGATTTTCAATCTGTCACAAATGCCCGTTGGTAGCTTATTCGACCAGACGCTCGTGTACAGGGTGAGCCAAATTGGGCACTTTTAAAGGGGTCTTATCCCGTACAAGATATATGTCGCTGCCTGTTGATCAATTCACATGAAAAACTCGAATGTGAAAACCACATAGCGATATCTATTTTTATTTCAGAGTCACAAGATGTTTTTCGAATATGTGAAATTTTTGAAGTGCCTAAAACTCTGTTTCTTTGTCAAAATTTCTTCGTTTTCATGGAAATATTTCCAAAGCATTGTGTTTGTCATGAAAATTGATCCTCAGGCACTGAAATCAGTTGCAAAATAAAACTTTTCTTGAAGAACACTTTATATTCTTGAACTAGATATAGGAAGGCCGATTTCAGTGCCTCGAGAACAATTTTCATCACAAACTCAATACTTTGCAGTTATTTTCATAAGAACAGACAACTGTTGCCAGAAAAAATATCTGTAGCCACTTTTCAAAAATGCCAATTGTCGAAAAACACCTTGTAACTCCGAAACGAAGGCAGATATCGATATGCGGATTTCACCACTGAGTTTTTCATGAGAATCGACCCTCAGGCAGCAACATCAGTTTTCTTCCATCTGGTTCAAAATTCCCTTCAAAAAGTGCCCAATTTGGTCCACCCTGTACAACCAACTATAACGCATACTGTGTAACATTGACTATTGAAACGACCATCAATCTTCATGTGAAAAAAATTTAGACGTTGTGGAAAGGATATATTGAAAGAAAAACAATTTTTAGTTCATCATTTTTATTAAGCAACTTTACATAAAAGCTTCTCGTAGTCTGCACAGAAGGTAATTTTCTACAAATATTATGTGTGTAAACGTTACTTATTAAACTTTTGAACAATTTTTCTATCACAAAAATCGGATTTTAGTGATCGCGTAAAAATATATATATAAATATTATATCATCTTAAATGAAATAGGTACAACAAAAAAATTTAAAATATTCATTGAAAATATACAAATGCATTAGGATTACACTCATAAATAATATTTGTCATGGATATATTTACAGAATATTACAAGTGTACAGACTGCAAACGTTTCAAGTAAAAAAAAAAACAAATTTATAATTATACAAATACCGTCCCACTAAAACTGGAACGAATCGATGAATAAAAATTAAAATTTATATCTATCTTATTATTTGTTATAATGAAAGAAGACAGTTTTACATTAAAAAATACACAGTAACCTAGTAGGTCAATTATCAGTCTACTAAGAAATATTCAGCTAACATTATGACTTCAAGACAATTTGCCTTTACACTATTTACATCCAAAAATAACTAATTTACACAGCAGGATTCAATAAGTCCTTGGGATAAGATAGTTTAGTCACAGCACCATACCTTTTAACCCCAAAAAAATCGAAAAAGCAATTATTCGAGCCCCAGAATGAAAAGTAGTTCAAATGCACATGAAGATATTCGATTTGAAACAATCACTTGAAATATGTATAGCAATCAAATGAAGACAGTTGTGTATGTAAACACGTGCATTTGAACTACTAATCACATTTCACTTGGAACACCAGATATCAACGAAACCAGCTCAAAAAAAACTGTTTCTTTTGAAAAACTATGAGTTGTTAAGCTGGTGGAATCCTGAAATGTTAGATTCATGACCTATATTGATACAAATTCATCCTTTTTCTCTTTTATTCCAAAAACCTCGCCCAGTTAGTTCATTTCAGGTTTATGTAGGAGATAAGTAGGTCAAATGTACCGGAAATTGAGGAATCAACATTTTTAATCAATTTAAGAAAAAATTGGGTAAGTTACTGAATTTAAAATGGAAAGTAGTTCAAATGAACATATTCGATTTGAAACAATCACTTAAAATATGAATAGAAATCAAATGAAGACAGTTGTGTATGTAAACATGTTCAATTCAACTACTTATCACAAACTATGATTTGTTAAGCTGGTGGATACCTAAAATGTCAAATTTATGACCTAGTGATAAAAATTCATCCTTATTATTATTCCAAAAACCTCGCCCAAACAGTTCATTTAGGTTTATGTAAGAGAAAAGTAGGTCAAACGTACTGGAAATTGATGAATCAATATTTTTAATCAAACTAAGGAAGGATAGGGTGAGTTACTGAATTTATAATGGAAAGTAGTTCAAATGAACATATCAAGATATTTGATTTGAAACAATCACTTGAAATATGTATAGCAATCAAATGAAGACAGTTGTGTAAGTGAACTCGTTCATTTGAACTACTAATTACATTTCACGTGGAACACCAGATATCATCGAATCCAGTTCAACAAAAATAGTTTCATTTGAAAAACTATGATTTGATAAGCTGGTGGAAACCTAAAATATTAGATTTGTGACCCATGTTGATAAAAATTCATCCTTATTCTCTTTCATTCCAAAAACCAAACAGTCCATTTAGGTTTTTGTAGGAGATGAGTAGGTCAAATGTACCGGAAATTGAAAACACAATATTTTTGATCAAATTAAGAAAAAAATTCAATTTGAAAACCGAGGAACGAGGAATTCCTAATCCTCCTTTATTCCAAAAACCTCGCCCAAACAGTTCATTTAGGTTTATGTAGGAGATAAGTAGGTCAAATGTACCGAAAATTGAGGAAACAATATTTTTAATCAAATTAAGAAAGAATTGGGTAAGTTACTGAATTCAAAATGGAAAGTAGTTCAAATGAACGCCAAAGACAAACGAGAAAATGTCTCTTTCATTCGACTTTTTTGGGGTTCTGGAGGTTCGTGTCTGGTCATTCGTGCTTCGGCCCAGAAGTGCTCACTATTCAAACGAAAACTATGGAATGCTTTAGTCACTGTGAAAACGCACCGTCAGTCTCTCAACTTAGCGCACTCATTTGGTCGGATACGGGTTGATCACTGTGACAGCTGCAGCTTGTTGACTCGCCAACACTGTAGCTGAAAGAAAAAAACATCATTGAAAACAATCATTTGAGTGATTTATTTTGCTATATAAATAACTAGCAGACCTCGCAAACGTTGTTTTGCTATATACATCATTTCTATAATATATTTTTTCAGTTCAATATTCATCAAGACACTATTATTATTTTATTTTCTACTTCTTTTTAGTTTTTTCTATCTATAAAAGCGTGTTTCTTTAGTTTTTCAAACCACCATTTATTTCAACTTCTTTTTAGTTCACTTGAATTTCCCAATTTTGACGCAAGAATCATAATTTCCGACTCCGAAAACCCCAGATGAAAATTTTTAATGGAATCGGAACATAATTACAAAGCTCGTCGGCAATATTGGGTCTACCATCTTGAATTCCCTAATTTTGACGAAGGAATCATAATTGTTGATCCCAAAAACGCCCAGTTACAAATTTTGAGTAGAATCGGTATATATATGATTACAAAACTCGTCCGGTATAATGGTTGCACCGTCTTGAATTTCACCCCGAGAATCACCAGATAACAAAGAATAAAATCGGATCCTAATTACAAAATCCGCCATTTTGGATCCGCCATCTTGAATTTCTTAATTTTGATGAAGGAATCATAATCCTCGACCACAAAAACCCCTAGGTACCAATTTTGATAAGAATCAGATTATAATTATGAAGCTCGTCCGCCATATTGGTTTCACCATCTTGAATTTCCAAATTATGTCCGAATTTTCAAATTCTGACGGAATAATCGGACCATAATTACAAAACTCGTCCGATATATTAGATCCACCATCTTGAATTTCCTTATGGAACCGGGATAAAAAGTATTCTATTGCCTTCTCCAAAAAAAACGATCAAATCTTTCCTCTTTATAATATCAAATATAGATATTCTAGTATGCATATCATTTTTAATTTTTGCTTGCAAAATAGTTTTTCTATAAATGACATGTGGATTTTAACTGACATTCAACAGGCAGAAAATGTATTCTTCTATTGACTAGTAATAAAAATTTTATTGCTATGCAACGTTCCAAGTAATTTGAATGAAATTATCAAATCATCGAAATTGACAATGACATTGAGTGGACACAAAATGATGATTACTTGGACTTTGGGTGAAATTGAAGCAGATTTGGAGAAAAAATATATTGTTTCACATGGTAGAAAAGTAGATTCAATGCATTGTATGGTTTCCTAGTTTCGGCTACGCCTTGGCTGTTAAACGTCAGCCAGGGCATTGCATATGATTTTCTGCCTAGTTAAACAATAGTTATTTGTTTTACTAGGTAGCAAAGTAGTGGATTGACTGCCGCGGCGAATAGTTCATAGCTGAGCCAAGACAGTCCACTTTGCTGCCATGTAAAACATACTTTTTTCTCCAAATGTTATACAATCAATTTAGTGTAATTTTTTGTATTCAAAGATGAATCATTTTGTGTTCACCCAATTTTGATCACCAATTTCATTAAAATCATTTGTCAAGAGAGAAAGTTCACCTTTGCTGCCATAGAAAAGCCACTTCCTTTGCCGTTTGGAGAAAAATAACTATGTAATCTTTCCCAAATGACATTGAAAGTGGCCATTTAATAACGCTTAACAGGCAGAATAGGTGTACTTTCATTGCCTAGGCTGAAAAAGTATGTTGCTATACAACGTTACAAGTAATAATTTGAACCAAATTGCAGATCAAAATTGATGATGATTTTGGGTGAACACAACTTGATGGATTATTTGGACTTTTCGTGCAATTCAAACAGATCTGAAGAAAAAAATGTTTCACATTGCAGAAAAGAACAAGACACAGGTGGCGTTTTATAGCCAAGGAACATTCCATCATCAATAATGTAATATTTTACTTAACGCAACTGGTTACGTATAGTAAGACGTTTCAAAACTTCCGCCACACCTGAAAAGTGTCAAATTACATGGCAAAATTAGAAAAATATTACTAAAAGAACCACCGATAAATAAAAAATGAACACACTTACCTCCGTACGGCGCCGGATACATCGGATACCCCAACCCGACGTGCGTGTGGTGGTGCGTATGCACGTGCCTCTGCGGGGGCGGCGACCTCGCCTCCTTCCCGCCCCCACCACCGTCCCCGCCCGCCTGCTTCCCCCCAGCAGCCGGCGCGTTATTCGCCGCCTGCGACCCCGCGTTCGGATTCGCGCTCATCTGCGCAGAAGGCGGGCCGGAAGGGGGCGGAGCTCCAACGTTCCCGCCCACTCCGACCACGCCTACTCCCGCTCCGCCTCCCTGATTGGCCGATGGGCTGGACGCGGCCAGCGAGGAGTTGGACTTGTTGCTGTTGGGCGTGGGTGATTTGATGGCGCGCTCTTGCAGCTCGTGGATCTTGTGCGAGGAGTAGTATTGGGCGTGGTGTTGGAGCATGTCGAGGGCTTTGGTGGGCGGGGGCTGGGCTCTGGATAGGTCTTCGGGGGCGTGGTACCTGCACAAGGAGGAAAATAATTATTAGTGGAGGGTTCCTAGGGGATTCTGAACAATTATAAGAAGTACCGAAGAATAAAACATGGACATTTCAAGAACTGCGGGGAATTTCAAAGAACAATAATGAAAACGGAACGTTCATACCTTTGGATGGGCGCGTGGATGTAGGGACTGCCGCTATACGGCCCCGGCACCATGATGCCCCTGTACATCGGGTGGTTCGGGTCGAAGGGCAGCGCCCCGTAGTGCGCCTGCTGCATGTATCCGGGGTGGATGTAGGCGTACTGCGAAGTGGGCGGCGGCGGCGGCCCTTGCGTCTCCATCGTCGGCTTGACGCCCTCCTGTTTCGGCTCCTTCTCCTTCTTGTCCGCCTCCATTTTCACGTCTTTGGGCGGTTTGAGCGAGGGGCTGTGGGAGTGAGGGGTTTTGGTAATGGGAGGTTTGTGGTCGGCCATCGATTGTTGCTGTTGTTGTTGCTGCTGCTGTTGTTGTTCTTTCCGTCTTTGCTCGGAATACACGTAGAACCTGGAAAAAGGCAGAGGGGTTCGGTTCATTCAATTCCAGCAACTAATGATATTTCAGAAAAGTCAATTGAATTTCAATATTTGTCATTTTTTGTATCTCACAAGGTTATTCTGTATGTTCTGGTTCCCACGAGAAGGGATATCCTGTAATGTTCAGAGGACATCGTGAGGACCAAGGAAAATGAGGTAGGAATTCACAAATCATGTTCTAGATGTAGATAGGAGTGAACATTCAGTTTCAGATCTATCCACCAATTCTCCTACATATTCAATAGAATTGTATAAATGGCGTAAAAACAGGGGACACGTTGATGTACCAACCTGCGCACATCTTCCTCTCTTTGGGCATGATGCGACTGCTGCTGCTGCTGTTGCTGCTGCTGCACCTGTTGCATCGGCGGCATCTGTTGCTGCTGCTGCACCTGTTGCTGCTGTTGTTGCACTTGTTGCTGCTGAGGAGGTGGCGGTCTCGAATACAAATAAGAGCTCATCTGGTTCTTCATTTCGATGCTCTCCTTCAGTATCTGGTGGTTGTCGTTCTGGTGTTTGGCCTCTTTCACCTTACCGGGTGTAGGCACCTGAATCAAGAGTTAGTTAGTGAACATTTCCGAAAGTTTCAAATGTAATGTTCCGATAGGGAAGTTTCCTTAGTTGGGGTTCTTATCTCACTGTGAACTTTTTTTCGTAAGATCGAATTCCACTCCAGAAAAAAATAAATGAAAGAGGAACTTGGCTCCTCCACCATTCCTACGACGTTCTTTCTGAAAATCCACATTCACACAGAGTTGAAATACGATTCTCTGTGCCAGTACGACGTTGCCGACATCATCAATATGCCTAGATTTCCAGAAATTGTTCTTTGAATGCATAATAACTATATCATAACAGCATTGGAATATAAAAGGTTCTTCAATCCTACTTTGTCAAGTAGTATGAATAACTCCCATAAATCTCTCATTGGCTGAATGAAGTTGATTACTAATTAGGATAAATTATGATATTTTGCGATAGTATCTATAATTTTTCACTATCGCTATATTACAATATGTTATTCATAACTTGTAAGTGATTTTTTTGCTAATGAATTGGTTCCTTAGTAAAACGGATCTATTTTCTAGGAAAGTTGCAGATTATATCTTGCAACTGCGCCTAATACTTCAAGTCCGTCCACACCACTCAAAATACTGACAGGCACAACAAGAGGAAGGAGCCATGGGTGTCGGCTTCATTTTGTTCTGACCGATGACGGTAGATTAGGAAGGATTGTATCATTGAATGTAGCCGATGATTCATTGATTCAATGATATTTTCGTTTAGGATCGAGCTCTATTCGAGATATTTCAATGCATAAATAACAAAACCATATCATGTCAGAATGAAGCCAACTACCCTCTGCATTCCTGCTCCGAGTGCATTTGTGGTTATGTATGTTTTTGTTCAACAGTTTTACTACTTCATCTATTTTTTTCATTCGTTTTTCATTCGTTAGCTATTCAGACTAGATTTAAACAGTATGTCACAGTTTGCCGCCCCGAAAATTAGAAATTGCTTTAATTTGGAAATGAAAACGACTTGGACTTTATCGGTCGCCATTCTGTACAGCGTCGACATGAAACTGGAGAGTTCCGAACTCATTTCATGGAAATTCATCGGAAGGAAACTTCCCCATTTCCTGCTAAATGAAACACTAGGAATTTTACAACTTCAAACTGTACCTGGATGGGGTTGGGGATGGGCTGCGGCTGTTTGCCGACGCTCTGATCGATCGGACTGGGACTCTCCTTGGTCCTGTCCTCTTTGGGCTTGTCCTCTTGCACGAGCGGTACGCCGGCGTAGTTCGACTCCATGTTGTAGGGGTAGCCGGGCATGTAGCCGTAGGGGTAGTAGTGCTGCTGCACCACCTCCAAAAGAAATTACGATAAAGACGATTGATTGATATCGGTTTTGTTACCCCCCCTCCCATAACCCCTGAGAAAGATGATGAAACTTTGGTAGGTGAATATACATTGCAAACAGAAGTGGCCCTAAAACTGATCCTTGTGGTAGACCAGATTAATTTCAGTTGTTGAAAATAACTTTTGTTGTTGTCGAAAAACTTGATATATTTATTGTAAATATGACTTCCAGACAGAAACAAGTTCTGGTATAAGGAAGTAGTTAACAATAAAAACTAAACAATTATAACAAATTCATAAATAATATAATAATTTTTGATTGCAATCATTAAATATCAAATGTGTATAAATAATTTTATATGGATGAACAAAGGTCAATTTTGATAGTTCAATAGGTATTACAAGTTGGCAGAAATCAATAATCTATCTCGTTCAGAAATGATTAGTTTATTGAGTTCATATTCGAATTTGATTATATTTCTACAATTTTTATATTATACCGTAATTCATATATTCCTATTGTCTAGTTTGGTTTAATTATTTTGAGATTAAGATTTATACTTCATTTATTTTTTTCTTGTGAAAAATCATTTATTCATTCCGTTTTACTAGTATTTATTGATAAAAGGTTGAAAATGTAGCAGTTTTTAAAATTTCATGAATAGAAAAAAAAAGTAGTAGACACCTACCTTTTGGGGGTAATCGTGAGTGTCCTTTTTGCCTTCCTTCTCGACGATTTTTTCGGGTTGCTTTTCGGGTTCTTTGGGCTTGTTGTCTTGCACCGAGGGCATGATATACTGCTGTTGACTATAGAATGGGTGGTACATGCCGTATTGGGGCATGTGGGGAAGCGCTTGTCCCGTTTCAGTCTTCTTGAATGAAAAAATAATTAATTCATCACCAGTAGGTACTAATAATTTCTAGGGATCCTCCGATACCGGTATCGCTATATCGGCCCGGACCAATATGTAAACCACAAAATCGGCTCAACCATGCTCAACAAAACAATAAATAGCTGAATATTTCAGTTACTGAAGACCTTCTTGAGCAATTAAATTAGAAATACTGCTAATATTACTTAATTGAGTTTTACCCATATCGACCAATATCGGTCATGCGTATATCGGTATAGGCTCTATAAAAAGGGGATGTTTCTTTTTGATGCAATTTCTCCAATATTTCAATGGCCTACCGTTTGATAGGATTTTTTTCTGTTGGTTCTCTGTGCTTGTCATTCTGGTTCGAACGGTGATTAAAAAGTTTAAATAATGGATGAGTTGTCTTCTTCTTCTATTTTTTTTTTCGTTTGTTACCTATTTGTTTGCTATATTCTTCATCATCGGCTATATTCAGACTAGAGTCATTGGATGGTATTAGTTATATAAGAGTTCGGACACAGCTCAACTTCTATCCTTCTCTATTTCCTATATTACAATGGTTTGAGTGAATAAAAGAATAAGACATATATTCTGCTTTTTGTCTTTTCAATTTTCCTAGTAGCGCCTGATTCTAGAGGTTGGATTTATAATTTATAGCGATACACTTTTAGCAGAACAGCAGTTATAAAAATGAAAAGAATGCATATGTAACATTTTAATAGGACAAAATAGACACATATGGATATACTTGTGGCTAGTTTCTTATTGTATGTGAAACAGTCTTGATTTTCCACCTTTTCCTGCAGTCATTTTTCACTGATGAATTTCGAATTTGGTCGGTATTGAAAAAGCCATTCAATCACCTTGCAATTTACTTGATTTCCTCAGTTTCATTCTCAAATTTTCAATCTCATCACGTATGGTTCTGCAATCAATTCCCCTTTCTCCATGTTTTGCATTTCGTGTATAATGATTATAATGGAATCGGAAACGGATTTTCAAATATTCTGTTTGAAAATGGGCCTAATAAAATATAGTTTCATTATAATCTGCTGTTATAAGAAGTGAATTTTAATGTATGTACCTCACAAATTTTGCTTGTCTTCAAATTGATTTTCCATACAGGCCGTTTTATACATTCCTTCTATGAGGGAATGGTTGATATTCCCTTTGGAAAATTAAAGAAATGCAATCCATTCTCTTCAAATTCCCCACATTCCATTTTACAGCAGGACATTTAGGCTCGTGCCACAAACTTTCACACTTGCGAGAAAAGTTGAACTTTCCCCACTTGTTGCACAATATACTCTGCACATACAGGTGCTCGTACCTAGGTGCGCTTATTTAGAATAAATATATTATCAAGATGTGAATTAACAACTAATTGTAAATGAAATGAAATGATAAAGAAAAAATCTTAACCAACACCAATATTGACACTAACCTTGTCGGCATTCTTGTTTTTGTCGGTGATTTCGGTGTCCAATGCGGGGGCCCCGTCATCGGAGATGTCCGAGTAGGCGGGGCTCTGGACCTCGTCCCTGCCCGATTGGTCGGAGCCGAAGAGCAGCTGCTCCGTTTGGGGGGGATCGGGGCTGCCGGCGGGGGATTTGCGGTTCTTCTTCTTGTTGAAGTTGGCCGTTTTGTTGCCGCTGAAAAAAACACACACACACACGATTATTTTCGGTGATTGAAAATGGAAAATGCACGGAATTTCGACACCATACGGAAGAAAATCAGAATTGTAACTTCAAGGATGCGCCAATTTTGTTTTTTCTGGGATTGAAAATGAAGAATGCTGAAAGTTCGATTTTTTTTTTCATTATCTACCTATTTGATAAAATTCGTGAAAAAATTAAACTTATGAACTTCAGGAGCGTACCCTTTTCTTCAAATGTCAAAAATGACAATTGAACCACTATTGAGGGAGCCATACATAAGTTGGAAAAAAAATATCATAATTTTGATGTATTTAAATACAAAATTTTCATGAAAATATTAAACTTCCGACTCCAGGGGCTTTCCAAATATTTATTCGAGGGGGTCTGAAGTGAAAAATTAGGAATAACGGCATTTTTTCGACTAACGTTGATATAGATGAAGAATAAAAATCTGACCATCAGAGGCGTACCATTTAATTTAGCAAATATGAAATATATGAATATTGGAGTTGTAACAAAGTAGATTGCCGACGCGCGGGCATCTAGACACGGTGTGGTGAGTTTATGCTGTTTATGCGTGTCGCTAGTTACTGTACCCTTCAATAGTCACCAATGGATATGTCAGTTTGTCAATTGTCGACTTTTGTCAGATTTTGGCGTCTTCTTCCACCTTTTACTTCGTATGAAAAAGGGTTAAAATTTTTTAAAAACTCTTTCTTGATCAAAAACAGGAGTGCTTCCTGGCTTTGATACTATCGAATCCATTTTTGATAGTTGCACTTTTAGGTAAGTTTTTATAATATATTGTTGATGATGTTTTTCTAACCTCATCCGCTCCACCGCGTGAGTTTTGGATCATTTTCTCATTGTGGTTTTTTGTCTCTTTTAGTTTTGTGTGAAATAAAGATTTTGGAAAGGTGAAAACCATAAATAAGGTGTATTGAATAATCCTGTCCTTTTCAAAAGTACCCCTGAGAGCGGCGAGACCGCGTATTGTCTCAGAGTCGATTTTTTTTTCGAATTCAAATTATTTAGGAAATGCATAGAGAATCGAAGTGAATTTTTGAAAATTTGAGTTTGAATCTTTTTTTTTTTTCTGGAGGTGAATTATCAAAGAAGGATTTTCAGACCGTACTTATATTTTTGTTGGGTCAGAAATTGAAAATATCGCAATTTAGACATTTCTTTCACGTCACTCAGGACAAAATCGACTTCAGTGGCGCACCGACAATTTTTCTGAAGGGATCTGGAATGAATAAATGAATCGGAAAATCAAAATTCATTCCACTTGAGTTGAAAGTTGAAATTAAAATTGAGGGATCGACTTATACAGAGTGACCCATTTGAAAACCACTCTCACCTTTTTTTTTAATTATGGAGAGATTTCCACGTTTTTTTTTTAATGAAGAGGAAGGAAAGGTGTATTTTGGAGCTGGGCGCCATCCTTTTTTTTTTCAAAACCCAAGGCCTACTAGATCTCATTCAGAGACCGAAAAATCCAGACTCCATATTAGCGATTTTTTTAGAAAAAATCTGCGTACACTCCTGGAATCAGCGTCCTCTGAAATAGATCTGTACCAAGTTTCATGAAAAAGTGTTCAATAGTAACAATTCTACAACGTATCTCATTTCAAACGGCACCCCCTCTCTTTATCTCAGCTATTAGTCGTGCGATTCGATTCGTACCAACGACTCCAGGTGCGTACCGAATTGTGTTCAGGAAGGAATTGTAGATATCAAATTTGAATTTAAATGAAGTTGATAGGATTCACGCCCATGAAATGAGGCAATTTAATTTATTGATAGCAAATAATAATTATAAGTCAAATTTTGGTAAAAAATCAATATTCCAAAATGGAATAACTTTATATAACTCCTTACCTTATGAGTTGAAAAATATGGAAGAAGCAGAAAAATTTAAAATCAATTAAAAGGTATATCTGCTCAGTAAACTTTAATTCCATATCTACTAATCATTCACAATTTGATTACTTGTAATTTGTAATGGATTATAATATTTTCATTTTATATTTTATTATAATTTTCTTTATGAAAAACAATAATTGTGCAATTATTATTGTTTCGATTTATTATGTTATATGTGCATATGATATATCCCTATTATAAACAATAATGTTTCTTGGGGTAATAAAGACAATCAATCAACAAAAAAAGATCTGAAAATAGATATGAGTCAAAGTTGAAAAACCTAGGAAAAAAAATGATTGTGACATATTCAGATAAAAACAAAATTGCGAGTTCAGTGGCGTAGTCAGTTATTTTCTGAAGCAGTCCGGAAGATTTGTCAACTTCTACGACTTCAGAAATTGCACAAAAATGGATTTTAAAAATTATTTATGGAAAAGATTATTTGTTTCCAACTGAACTTTTATATAAGGAATCTAAGAAAATGGATATAAATCAACTCTATATTTACAATTTACTGATTCATATTTTCAAAAATAAAAAGGACATTAAGTTTAAAAAACATATCTATGACATAAGAAATAAAAATAACATAACATTGAAATATAAAACAAACAAGTCATTTGGACGTAGAAATTTTAAATTTTTAATTCCTTACCTATATAATAAAATTCCAAATGATATTCTAAAAACAAAATAACTACAATCCTATAAAATAAAAATAAAAAACTGGATATTAAACTCCCCTAAAAATTATTTTATTTCTTTAATTAACATTTAATAATATCATTAGATAAATTTTAATAATAATTGTGAATAAGTATGTATGAATATAAATAATTATGCGTATTGAATGAAATGCTCCATACACTATATATTATGAATTGAATACTTGTCTCATTTCTTAATGAGACAATTTTCAATTGTGATAACTTGATATTGTTAAATATTTATTGACCTATGTACATTTATTTATTTTTTATTCTTACTACAAGGTTAACTTCGTAAGGTTTTTCCCAGTTTATTCAAATTACCTTTATGTTTATTCCAATGTATATTTTGTAAACGTTTTTGAATAAACTTATATTATTATTATTATTATTATTATTATTCACAAATATTTTTCTCCGAGTTCAAATACATCGAAAAAAATACCAACGTACCTGTTATTTACATTCAGGGACTGCTGCTGCTGCAGTTGCTGCTGCTGCTGCTTCTTGTCGTCGGGCATGAGGGCAGAGGCGGGCTTGACCTTGAACTGCGTTATCTTGCCGGGGGGATGGGGAGGAGAGTGCGGTGACAGTTGCGGCTGCTGCTGCTGCATAGAAGCACCCAATGGGGCGCCATTCTGCCCCGGAATGACGATCGAAGGGGGTTGTGAGAACTGCTGTGACTGCATGCTCCCCTAAAGAATAATAGGGAAAATCAGCCATTGTCGTTACTAGAGTTCCTAAATGTACTTGACAATGCTGTTTTGACGTTTTTTGTATATTAAAAAACGTCAAAACCGTAGTGTTAAGTACATTTAGGAACTCTAGTCGTTACTAAGTGAAAACCTAGTATGCGAGTTATAATATACAGGATGATCCACGGTGGATGGCCAATTAGAAGTATCTGGAGAACGAAGAGACAAAACATTCTAAAAATTGAGATGCTTTGATAATTGAACATTCTGTATCCGTCTTAAATATTTTTATCGATACAGTGTTGCCACTTCTATCAGAAACAACTAGCAACTTTGTTGTTTCAAATGAAACACCCTGTATTTTATTGCATTTTTAGATTCTTCCAGAAGAGCTAATTTCACCAATGTATCACACTTGGAGTCTAGCATTATGTCTGATTATGAAGATATAGGGTGTTCAAAATCGAGATTTTTCAATTTTAGGATTTTTTTGTGTCGGAACTATTCATTATCGATCAAAACGGCTGACATGTCCCTATCTTAACTTTTGATTTACTATCTACTGGAATTTAGTTGGAAGAAATACAGGGTGCTTCAAAATTCAGAATTCTGATCACCCTGTACTATCTACTGACATTTAATTGGAACAGATACAGGGTGATCAGAATTCTGAATTTTGAAGCAACCTGTATTTCTTCCAACTAAATTCCAGTAGATAGTGAATCAAAAGTTGAGATAGGGACATGTAAGCCGTTTTGATCGATAATGAATAGTTTCGACACAAAAAATCATAAAATTGAAAAATATCGATTTTGAACACCCTATATCTCTGTAATCATTCCTGCTAGACCCAAGTGTAATGCATTGATGAAATAAGCTCTTCAGGAAAAATCTTGAAATGCAATATAATACAGGGTGTTCCATTTGAAATAACAAAGTTGTTAGTTGTTTCTGATAGAAGTGGCAACACTGTATCGACAAAAATATTTCAGACGGATAGAGAATGTTCAATTATCAAAGCATCCCAATTTTCAGAATGTTCTGTCTTTTCGTTCTCCAGATACTTCTAATAGGCCATCCTCCGGGGATCACCCTGTATATCAAAGACTGGAACCTTTGGCACAACAATACAGGACAAGGCAATTCATTAGGTAATCTAAGTAAGGAGTATACGAAATTAGTTATAATGATTGTGCAGAGAAGTGCACAAAAAACGACCAGGACTGTAACTTCTGAATTATTCGAGATAGGGTTTTGAAAATTGGTGGGCAGCTAGTATACCAAATTGCTCATTAATTGACGAAACAATTTTTGTTCTATCACTTCCGGTTTCACTGGAAGCGACCCCAACTTTTGATTTTTAAATGGAACACCCTGTATTATTCCATAATCGGTTAGGGATTGTCATAACGAACTCATCGATACCGGGTTTGATGGGGTTATTTCAAACGATTACGCAGATATTCGCGTTCTAAGTTTCCATATGCTCAATGAGTGTGACAGGGAAAGAAGTTTTGATATTGCAAAGTCACGCCCATTGAGCATATAATAATATTATTATGTCATGTGAGTAGTAATATTTTTGTATTAATTTTGTATTGTATACATTTCATTGAGTTCAACCTGTTTTTAATGCAGTATAAAATTAATCAAGTATCTATCTATCTGTTTTAGGTTCTTACCTGCGACTGCAGCTGATTGGCAAAAGACTGCGGCTGGGGAGGTACAGATTCTGGGGGCTGAAGGGGGGTTTGGTCGACGGGAGGAGGTATCGCGACAGGGGTCGGCCTGTTTGCAGACAGGGGACCTGTACTCGACAGTGGTGTACCTAAAATAAGATAAATCATGCTCAAGATTCACAAATTTCGTTGAAGTAAGCAGTTAAAGATACATTTTCGAAAATGATTTGAGATGAAAGTTCCAATAACATCACTCAAACTCGCGTTCATTTCAAGATCATTAATTATAAATTAACTTTTCAAAATTAAAACATCCAGCGGAGTTCATAGACTTCAGTTCCTGTAGAATTTGCAAAACCGCGTACCGTGCGATAATACCTAGGTAAGCAATATCGAAAGGTAATGGCCATTCCCATTGCGGAAAATTGCAAACCTAGCATCGATTCCGAATATAAAATAAATAGTACCCGAGTCGATAAGGTATTATCATTATCAATACAACAGTTCAAGTAGTTCAAACAGTTTTGATCTTATTACATTATTCCATATAAAATAATTAACCAAACACAACGATATCAGTTCCGTTATTTCCATTGACTTGTTGGAAGTTTTTCAGAATTGTTTGTTTTTTTCCCTTTTCTCATTCACGACAACGAAAATGCAATAATATAACAAGCCACGTGACATGCCACTACAATAATACTTGATTACCCTTCATTCATGAAAGATTACAGGAAAAATAGACCTATGCAATAGTGTGACCATTGGTTGTTCGCGCCATTTATTAACGAAGGTAATGATTTTGTAGTGGCTATAACAAGCCACAAGCTATTGCTTCATCCGAGAAGAACACTAACTCATCTTGAATTCTTGTGTGGCTTGTCATGGTTTCACACAAAACCCTTCATTTACAGAATGTTTGCTCACCTTGAACCTGCGGCTTGTTCCCCGAGAACATCCCGACCGGATACTCTTCCGGGGGCGCGGAGAACCGCAGCACGCCCGGCTTGACCACGCCCCCTCCCCCGCCCACCCCCTTCGTCTCCGCTACGGTGGGCGTAGTCGCCACCTCCGCCGCCTTATCTGGGGCGGCGGGGCCGTGAGGCGTGGCTGGAGAGGGGGGCGTGCTGCTGGGCGTGGCCGGCTCCTCCGGCAAGGCGGAGCCTCGCAAGAGGAGGGGCAAGTCGGTCGTCGGCTGGAAAGAAATGCGTTGTTACATCCCGGAAAGAAGCTCGATCATACAGTTGAGTATGGAAACATGAGATATCTTCGAAACTTCCTTAATATGATGTTTATCTGTCGAAAAGCAGCAAAGACTGTTTTGAACTTTAACAAATACCAAATGACCCATTTTATTTCATCTTTAGGTTTGGTTTATATCAACGGTTGGAATGAAAATGTTATTCCTAATTTCTCAAAATCATGCTGCATTGGTGATAAAAGACTGTAAAGGAAAATTGTAAAATATATGGGTGGTCTCATTTGAAAATGGACATATTGTTCGTATATCTCAGAAAAGGTACATTTGGCAGCTTTGATAATGAAAATCATAATATCGCTGGTACAACTGATATACATAAACAATATTTTGTTATTGTATCTTACGGGGTGTCAAAGATATCTTCATGTTTCCATACTTTACGGGCACACTGTATAAATAGGGTGTCTAGCAGAAGGAATAGTAGCAGAAGAAGAGAGATTAGGAAGAAACGAAAGAAATATGCAAGGAATGAATTAGAAGCTAATTCAATCTGTTCGAGAACGAGGATCGTTAAATTTGGCGCCCGAGCAGGGATACCAGAGCCATAAAAAAAAACGAATCCTCAACATCAAAAAACTCACCTCTTTCTTTAGCAAAAAGAATATTAGCAGAAGGTAGGAGAAAAGTGAAGAGATTGTGCATAGAGGAGAGAAGATTTGGAGGAATCGAAAGGAATACGCAAGAAACAAGGTATTTATAGAGTGCCTGAAACTACTCATACCAGGCCCTTTAAAGAGTGTGGACACGCTTGCTACAACTGACCTTTCCGAATAGTCATCATTCTCAGATTTGAAACGTCAGTTCTGAAAATTGAACTGCGTACCCGCGAAAATGTTTTCGAAAAAGTCTTGTTCGGTAACTAATTGCAAAACTTCTAAGAATGATGGTTACCATTTCTATTTGAGTTGCCAAAAGTCCAGAATTCATTTCAAGTGTTTGTTAAAGCTTCATACTCCAATATTCATTTCGTGGAAATACATTCAATAATGTAATATTGGTATAACTACAGAATAAGCATTATGTGCCTTTGGTTGGTTTTGAAACATAATATGTCTGCACTAGTTCAAGCTGTTTGTTCAGCTGTGTAACAAAATGACAAGTGTGTTCACACTCTTAACGGGCGTGAAATGAAATGTTCGAGGCACTTTTAGTATTCAGAAATCAATGAACATTCAATTCAATCTTTTAGAAGATGAGGATCATTACATGTGGCGCCCGAGTAGGGACCCCAGAGACAAAACTAATACTAACCTCCTTCTTGGCAACCGCAGCTGCCACGACCGCCACTGTCGCCGCTGGACTCTCCCGCCCTTTCACCCCCACCCCCGGCGGACTGGCCGCCTCCACATTCGACTCATCATTCTCCGACGTCGACGAAACGACGTCTTTGCTCGAAAACGACGCTTCGCCGGTGTTGCCGTCGTCGTTGTCGTCGTCCGGCGAACCGTGGGCATGCGACTGATGGTACTTCAAACCGTTGATGTGCTTGTACTTTTTCGAGCAGTTCGGCTCGGGGCACTCAAGCAGCACAGGCGAGGGTGGGGGGCTGCTGCCACAGGGGGTCTGCGACGATGTGGACGACGAAGACGATGACGAAGACGTCGTCGTCTTGGATTTCTTCACCTGCGGAGAGAGGAGAGGTGGTCGTAGAGCGATTTCCCTCTAGTGTGAAAAATGCAAATTTTCACCCTAGTAAGGAAAATTCAATTCTTCGCCCTGAGGAACAAGTATTTATACTAGTGTGATGAACAGACTTTCCGCTCTAGGGTGCAGAACAATAATTATGAAAAATTTTACTATTTGCCTAGTGTAATTATGGAAATTATTTTCCGCTCTGGTGAAGATTTAACGCCCAAGTGGCTAGGAAACCCTTATTTTCAGTTCAGTAGTAAAAATAACTTCTTTTTGCTTTTGTGTGAAAAAATGGATTTTTTCTCTACTGTGAGAACAGCTACATTCCACTTCAATGGGTATGAAGAACTTATTTCAGCAGTAGAGTGAAAAGTATTATTTTGCAAGTCCGAGAACTAAATTCAGCTGTAGTGCACCTTGCGCCCTAATGGGTAAAATCGAATCTACTTTTCATTCTATTACGGAAATAGCTAATTTTTATCACGGGAGGCGAATAATATATTTCTGCTCTGATGTGAAAATAGTTATTTATTATACAAGGGAAAAAAGTAGATTTTAGCTACAGGTTGTGTTGCCCTGATGATGACTAAATTAAGTCCGCAATAGAAAGAAGAATGTACTTTCCATTGATATGAAAGATACTATTTTTGCTTCAGTGAGAAAGAAACTAGTTTTTGCTCTAGTGTGAAAAAGCTACAAATTCAAAATATGTGAATTGAAATGAAAATTTCACACCAAACATTTTCGACCCATTAAAAGCCTCTATTTTGTATCGCAACCAAACAAATTTCTGGATATTTTTCCTCCTCCTTGGGAAAAGGACCATGAAATTACATTGGACATTTTTTTACGTTTATATTTAACTTCATGTTACGTTAAATTTGTTCTATAAGTCAAGTTCCTTGCAGAAACTAATATTTCTACCAACTTCAACCAAATGGATTTGTATAATATTACGTGAGCAGATTTCATTGATACCTACTACTACTACTTGGAGTTTATTGTGAGAAAATATATTTCTGCTAACTTTGGTGAAATGCGAAGTAAAATAAATTTGTGAAGAACTGAGAAATTGAGCTACTATCGACTTATCCTTCATTAGTTTGTGTATCCAAAGTAATTTTGCTTTATTTAACATTTTAACCTAACAATGATATGAATGTGAATTATATTGTTATGCTACATACTGTCGAGTTCCTTGTAACAAATTATATTTCCACCAACTTTAGTGGAATGAAGTTAGTCAAGAATAATAGTATGAGCTACGACCATCTGCCTGATTAATATTTTGCGTACCTAAAATCGGTATTGTGTATTTTATTTAGCGTGATCTTATACTAGTTTTTTAAATATTGGTGTGATGTTTTCTTACCGAATACCACTCTAGCTTCAATTAAACACCGGAAATTATTTCTCCAACACGAAGATTTAAAAAATTCGTGTTCTCGAAAAAATGTCCGGTGATTATGGAAGCTCTCGTGGTATTATGAGCAAAAATTTCATAAAATAACAATAATAATGATGATGGTACATACCGTGTGCGCTTGCGAGGCTTGTTCCCTCTCCGCCGCCGCCTCCTCTCCCGCCCTGCTCTTCCTCTTGTTGGTCGCCTCCGGCCTGGGCGGCGGGAAGGGCGGCGCCGGCGACGACGGTGCCGCCCCCTTGTTCCTCGCTCCCTTGGCCCCGCCTCCGGGCGCCCCGCCCCCTCCTCCCGCGGCCACACCCCCTCCCCCTGACCCGCCCCCCGAGGCCCCGCCTCCGATGGCGCCGCCTACGTTGCGCAGCTTGCCGTGCGCCGTGGACCGCGTCTCTGTGAAGTTGATGGTGCTTACGTCAATACTGGGGGTCGGCAAATGAGCCGCCGAGGATCGTCCTCTCTTACCTCTGCCTTTCGGCGTGCGGTTGTCCAGGTCGCTCGTGGGGGAATCACAGAATCTAGACGGTGGTGGGGGAAAAGGAAAGGTGAATTTAGTTACTGTCTCTATGTTAATCGTGGAGTAATCAATATTAATGAGTAAGACTCAGGCTATACAGTCTGTCCAAGATAAGGTTGAACAGCATGGGGATCTCGAAAACGGTAAGAGATACGAAATCGGTTAAATGGGGAAAAAGTTGCGCATTTGGAGGCTCATATCAAGAGCCTTCGAAAATTTTGAAAATTATTTTTAGTTTTTGAGTTATATCGAAAAAAGTGAATTTTTGGAATTTCTATTTTATTTTTTTTTCTCCGTTATTATTAGAGATACAGCAAAACTGAGAATACTTTTTCATAGCAACTTTTGATGACGGTCAACGTGGTGATACCGATTTTTTCATGCGACGTTTCGTATTCGTGGAACCATCATCAACTTTTGTTTTTTGAATACGGTCCTGATAATTTTTTCACAGATTCTGAAAGATTTTTTTATTCTGAAATCAACCATGTATTATACAAGGTGGTTCATTTGTGTTTCGACCTATTTTTGGCCATCATCAATGTTTTTTCGAAACTCCAAAGGAAAAATGCCATCAGTTCCACTTATTTTGAAGGAAAATTAGTCAACACACTAATACCTCATCAACTGGTTTCAATCAACAACCCATTTCATTTTGCGGAAACAAAAATTCCATCCATACAAATTCAGAATATGTCAAGCGCTTAAACCAGGCGATGACGAAAGGCGCAAGACATTCTGTGAGTGGTATACCAGGAAATGTTAAAATTTTGCAGATTTCTTTCGAACAATCATCTGGACTGATGAAAGCATGGTCACTAATCATGGTAGCTTCGATAGAAAAAATACACATTATTGTTCACGAGAAAATGAACATTTATACATTACAGCGAGACACCAACATCGTTTCGGCTTCAATATGTGGGTTGCAATATTTGGTACACGAATTATTGTTCCTTCTATTTACCATGAAACACAGACTTCCGAACGTTATAGAAATTCGCTTGAGAATCATCTTGAGGAAGCTCTGGATGATTTACCGATTGCGGAAGTTCAGAACTCTGTTGGTTTCAACAAGATGGCGGTCCGGTACATAATTCCAGAGAAGTCCGTGCGTTTTTATCCCTTGGCCGGCGCGGTTGCCTGATTTGACACAGCTGGATTTTTTCTTAGGGGATATATCGAACTTTGTACACGCAAATAACTTTGAGGATGAAGAAGAACTAAGGGACAGTGTCTTCGAAGCATTCAATAGAATAACCTCAGAAATGCTTAGCAATGTCTTAGAAACAACTGTGAGAAGAGGATATCTTTGTTCAGAAAATAATGGTTATCATTTTGAACATTTGTTATGAATGTCTCTGTAGGTACTGTCAAAGTTAAGTTGTTAAAGTAATTCGTGTAAGAATTCATCAACAATTTTAAACGCTGCATTGATCGAATGATGTAGTGAAATATTTTTTATTCACTTTTCAGTATTGAATAACTAATCCATCAAGTTTGACACTAAATGATAAGAAATAAGTGGAACTGATGGCTTTTTTTCTTTTGGAAGTTCGAAAAAACATTGATGATGGATAGAAATAGGTCGAAATACATTCCAATCACCTTGTATAGTACATTGTTGAATTCAGAATAAAAAAACCTTTCAGAATCTGTGAAAAAATTATCAGGACCGTATTTAAAAAACAAAAGTTGATGATGGTTCCACGAATACGAAACGTCGCATAAAAAATCGGTATCACCACGTTAAACCTCATCAAAAGTTGCAATGAAAAAGTATTTTCAGTTTTTCTGTATCTCTGATAATAACGGAGAAAAAAAATAAAATAGAAATTCCAAAAATTCACTTTTTTCGATATAACTCAAAAACTAAAAATAATTTTCAAAATTTTCGAAAGCTCTTGATATGAGCCTCCGAATGCCTCCAAGATCCCCATGCTGTTCAACCTTATCTTGGACAGACTGTAGTATACAATTTAATCATTTAATAGCAACTCGAACGTTTTCGCCACTAGGCCATCATCAGGAGAATATCTGAAAAGTGCATTTTTTTTTACAGGTACATATGTAAAAATGTGAGGTTAGAAATAATTTGATTATGTCAGAATAAAAACGTTGAATAGAACAAAAACTCACTTGTCATATATTCTTGCAGAAGATAAGCATTAAAAACAATGTGAATGTATTGAACAACATTGGTTAATTCATAAGATGTTTTTGGATTTATCCAAAATATTAAAATGGCACAATAGTGAAGTGCTGTTTTCTTTACTTTCGGGAAGAGAAGACATAAAACATTAAAAATTGATAGATTGACATCAGTGACCAGTGACCACGGAATTATTCAAAATAATGACAAGCCAGGCAGAAGCAATAATGAAATGTGTGACGTACATTGTTGTCAAATCAGTAGGAATAACTGAAAATTAAGTTAGCAAATTACAATTTCGAATGTGTTTTTATATGAATAATATAAGCAAGGTTGTGCAACACAGATAAGCAATCCAAATTAGGAAAAATGTTTTTGGTTTTTAATCACGGGGGTATATATCCCTACTGATTATTGGATGGAATAAAAATTGTTTTAATAGATTTGAAAATTGGTTCGAGTAGAACAAAATACTTAAGATTTAGAAAAAAAATAAAATATTCAAACTGGTCACCGATATGTTGAATCAGATCAGATGACAAGATAATCTCGTAAAATTTTCTTATCACTTCCTTGTAGATGAAACGAAATATGAATCTCATCTTCAATTATTGAAGTCAAGACAAAAAGGTTCAATATTATGGAATGAGTCATTCTCACCGAGGTGGAGCCCAATCGTGCCTTGTGCAGTCCAAAAGTGTCCCCACATAGGTCTTGCCTCTCCACGTCACATTCACCACTAGTACTCCTGAAAAATAATTCGAAAAAGAGACTTCATTACCAAGAAAAAGGTTATGTAACAAGATGATGCACTATAAAACCATTATAAAACAACGCAGCTATCAACAATTAGGCTACTTTGTTTGCAAATAGAGATGAGGCATGTTTTTTTTCACACCACATTTTCATCATTGATGGAAGTGACGTCACTCTCTGAAGCAAATTGTTGGAGTCATCAGTGTTGAAAACAAACGCAGTTATTTGACATGACAATCCCAACTGTTTTTTCATTTATATATTTTTCTTCTCGTGATTTGATGGTGATTTAGATTGTTTTCAATTAGGAGCTTAGAATTGGGGAAAACTAATGGGAAATGGAAAATGATGTACTGAAAGTGTTATTGGATTCCTTGTCTCCAGATCCAGAAGTACTAGCAGTTCTTCTGATAGTTCCGGGGATAAAATATTGTTTATGATGGGGAGAAGACGAGATAGGTTGAAAATTCACCAACCTATACAGTGTGTCCCACTTACCATGCTCACCATGGGTATCTTTTTAACGGTGAGAGATACAAGGTCGGTTAAATGACACCAAATGTGGAGTTTGTCAAGGCCAACTATAATGTGAAAAAATATTTTGATAAAATCTATTCGTTTTTGTTTTATACGCAACAGGTTAAAATCTATAAATTCAAGATGGCGGCATCCAAATAATTTGTTGTTTTTGTATAAATGACGATAACTCCTTTGTTATCAACACAAAACTATTACTGCGACACATCATCTGTAAGAGAAAAAAAAGTTATTTGTAACTAAGTCATAGTGAGCTATGACCTACATTTGAAAAACTAAAGTTGGTGTTGATATCTCAAATTCTAGAAGAGTTGGTATAAATTTTATATTTTTTTCGAAATCATTTTGAAAAACTGCCATGAGAATGTGAAATTCCTATTCGAATATTTTCATAAATAAAGAAGTTACGGAGGAGACATGAAAATGATCAAAATCTGTTTTTTGCGTATAAAACAAAAACGAATAGATTTTATCAAAATATTTTTTCACATTATAGTTGGCCTTGACAAACTCCACATTTGGTGTCATTTAACCGACCTCGTATCTCTCACCGTTAAAAAGATACCCATGGTGAGCATGGTAAGTGGGACACACTGTATACAAACCATTGCATTAAATTATGATGATATGGATAGTCATCTGATAACGTCATATATGTCCCAAAGGCATGTAAAACCATTGTAGTTTATGGAACGGCACCTGTGCCAATTACTATCCTGAGCAAAATGATTGAAAAATTGCACTTTCCTGTGCGGAAATTTGCACTCGATTTCGCGATTTGATAACGAGATAAGAATTATGCCATCTGATACCAATTTAATGATAGATGGAGAAATTTGAGCATGACATTTTTTTGATATTGAGAATAAGTGTGATATGATATTTCACAAACCTCCTTCTGTTTCATGCCAGACTATACCCTCGAGCGTGACACTGGTACCGGGTTCGCATGGTCCTAGGCAGTCGGGTTCCGTGATGGTACCCACGCTGGTACCGACGCAAACGTCTGCTACTTCCTGTAACACAAAATAATTATATGAATCAAGTGGGCAGTGGCATTTTTTTCAACGAGCAAAGATAATAATTGTTTCTAACTAGTGCCGAAAGTCGAAAGTGGTACTTCCCAGTATGCAACTGCTGCGGGCATTTGCTACATGATGATTTAGGAATATGTTGTTTTTCTATCATCTTCAATACATACCCACAAATACAAGGTTTTCTTAAAATAAGTGCACATATTCAGCACTTTAATATGAGACAGTCTAAGAAATATTCCCATGATATCAGATTTTTTCTAATTCTTCTAATTAACGAGAAATTTCATCCCAAAAATTGAACCAAATACAATTAAAATGATTGAACTCCGCGTGATTTTGCCTACCGCATGGAAAGGACCACGCACACATTATACAGGGTAACGGGTAACTCACGGTCGATGGTACGTTAGACGTTTATGGAGAACGGGACATAGGATCATTCTGAAATTTTGGTTACTCACGTAGTTGCTCTTGGTCTATCGATCTAAAATATTTTCAGCTCTGCGGCGTTGCCGCTTCTATCGAAAAGTAGCAACAACTTTGTTATTTTAAATGGAACACCCTGTATTTTATTGCATTTTCAGATTCTCTCTGAAGAGCTGATTTCATCGATGTATCACACTTGGGGTCTAGCGGAAATGATTACAGAGATATAGGGTGTGAAAAATCGTCATTTTTCAACTTTAGGAATTTTTTTGTCGAAACTATTCATTATTGGTCAAAACGGCTTACATGTCCCTATCTCAACTTTTGATTAACTATCTACTGATATTTAATTGGGACATATACCGGGTGATCAAGATTCTGAATTCTGCACGACCCTGTATTTGTTTCAATTAAATGTCAGTAGATAGTTGATCAAAAGTTGAGATAGAGACATGTAAGCCGTTTTGACCAATAATGAATAGTTTCGACAAAAAAAATTCCTAAAGTTGAAAAATGTCGATTTTTCACACCCTATGCCCTATATCTCTGTTATCATTTCCGCTAGACCCCAAGTGTGATACATCGATGAAATCAGCTCTTCAGAGAGAATCTAAAAATGCAATAAAATACAGGGTGTTCCATTTAAAATAACAAAGTTGTTGCTACTTTTCGATAGAAGCGGCAACGCTGCAGAGCTGAAAATATTTTAGATCGATAGACCAAGAGCAACTACGTGAGTAACCAAAATTTCAGAATGATCCTATGTCCCGTTCTCCATAAACGTCTAACGTACCATCGACCGTGAGTTACCCTGTATGAGAAAATGCCTTTCGGTGAAAATGGCTGGATTTTTGATATGTTGTAGCTGTAGTCATTCTAAGTGAAAGACTCCATTATTGGCCCAACTCGATCGTATGACCAGATTCGGCGCTAGAGAGTGAAACATCATGAATTTTGTGTATTTTTGAGTCTTCGCAGCTTTTTTTTTTTTTTTTTTATCGCATTTTTACAGGGTGGTCAACAATATACTAATATTCAGAAAATCCGAATGTCATCGCCTATATGAGAAAGCTGATTTATTGATTTCATCAATGGCGATCGATCAGAATAAACGTTGATCGAAGAAAAGAAAATGATAATCATTGATACAGAGTGATCTGAATAACAGAAGTTGCCAATATATACTCATTTAGATGATTTGATCATGGCATAGTCCTGAATATGTCTTCTGATGCCATTGTCTGAATTCTTTCCGACGAAATACAATGAGAAGTTTTACGAACATTCGTCATTACTCTATGTTCACTTCATGTTATGGCCATATGCAAAAAATACAAGGGCTTTTCTTCACCAAGGAAAGATGATTTTTGTTATTAGGTGTATATGTGCCTCTGTCCTCTGAGAAAGCGATAAGCAGTCATAAGTAACTGGTAATAACCGTTCGTTTTCGTTCGTCCACCGCACGACATCTGAATCATACAAATTAATGATGCATCAAACAATTACATTCATCATAGCTACAAGCCATACGTATGGCGAATAGTTGGAAGTTGATAGCCATTAAAAAAAAGCGACGAGGCTCGCATAATGTTGTCATATAAACGAATGAAAGCGGCATCAGCAAATATGGAAATATGCGAGTGATAATTTCCGTAACATTCCATTCCATATTAGTCGAGGGGCAATGGACACCAAGTTACAATTTGTTATTATGCATGGTGTTTCACGATGAGCATTAATTAGACGTTTCTGGCAAACCAACAAACAGATGAAGCTGAACTATTATTTCACTCATCACATAATCTGACCAATCACAAGCCAGAGACAACGTGTGCTTATCGCGAAAACATTGGATGTCTTTCAATTCTGATTGGTCAACGATTGATTTCAACGATGTAACCATGGATAGCGAAGCAAAGTCTGTCAGTTTGACATATAATTATTTTTGTATCTAGAGCGAAAATGCTATACTTTGGTGATCGAGATCTGATAATTTTAACAAGGCGTAGCTAGATTCTCCCTGAAGAGCTGATTTTATCGATGTATCACACTTGTTGTCTATTGCAAATAATTACAGAGATATAGGGTGTCCAAATCAAGATTTTTCAACTTTAGGATTTTTTTGTGTCGAAACTATACAGTGTGTCCCACTAACCATGCTCACCATGGGTATCTTTTTGACGGTGAGAGATACGAGGTCAAAGTGATTTCGAAAAAAATATGAAATTTATACCAACTCTTCAAGAATTTGAGATATCATAACCAACTTTAGTTTTACAAATGTAGGTCATAGCTCACTATGACTTAGTTACAAATAACTCTTTTTTCTCTTACAGATGATATGTCGCATTGAATTATTAAATTAGAAAAAAAATGGCTGCTCCAAGATGGCGGACAAGATTTGGTCCGATTTCATTCAAAATTGGTGAGTGGGGGTTTTCGAGGTCGGAGATCATGATTTTTTTGTTAATATTTATAAATTCAAGATGGCGGCTTCCGAATAATTTTTTGTTTTTGTATAAATGACGATAACTCCATTGTTATCAACACAAAACTATTACTGCGACATATCATCTGTTAGAGAAAAAAAAGTTATTTGTAACTAAGTCATAGTGAGCTATGACCTACATTTGAAAAACTAAAGTTGGTGCTGATATCTGAAATTCTAGAAGAGTTGGTTCAAATTTCATATTTTTTTCGAAATCACTTATAAAAACTGCCATGAGAATGTGAAATTCCTATTTGAATATCTTCATAAATAAAGAAGTTATGGAGGAGAGATGAAAATGATCAAAATCTGTTTTTTGAATATAAAACAAAAACGAATAGATTTTATCAAAATATTTTTTCACATTATAGTTGGCCTTGACAAACTCCACATTTGGTGTCATTTAACCGACCTCGTATCTCTCACCGTTAAAAAGATACCCATGGTGAGCATGGTAAGTGGGACACACTGTATATTATCGATCAAAACGGCTCATATATCCCTGTCTCAACTTTTGATTCACTATTTACTATTATTTAATCGGAACAGATACAGGGTGGTTCAGAATTCTGATCACCCTGTATCTGTTCCGATTAAATATCAGTAAATTGTAAATCAAGAGTTGAGATAGGGACATATAATATATGTATATAGGGCTCTATAAAAGCGTGTATTTTTAGTTTTTTCAACTACAATTGTTTTATTTATTATTTTTGCAGTATTTCAATAGTTTTAATAGTGTTTGATAATAATAACCTTCTTGCATTATTCCATTGTGAAAAACAGATTGTTCGTCAATGTTTGCCTTAAATGTATTTGCTATCAAGTAATTCAATTGTCTATTCCCATAATTATGGACTGTATCGACTTCATTAAAGGCTAAATTTGATGTTTTCAATTTATTCCTGACAAACATATATTTTAAGTTTATATAAAGGAATCAGGTTCAGAAAATGTCAGGTTTGTATAAATTCATCGTTGGTTCTAGAAATTGTAGATGAAAAATGCACTTGTTGATATTACAAGACTATCCGCATCGTGTTAATTTAAGAGTGAGTCTTTGGTGTTCGAAATTTGTCTACTGGCTCCCACACTAACAAATAGATGAATGAAGCGATGCCTTCTCGATCGAAGTGGCAGCATGAAACTTGTTAATTAGCCGTAATCGATATACTGGCGTAACCGTGTAAATCATCAATTTGAATGCACGTTGTTCGTGGGGCTTGTTTGCTATATCAATTTGCAATTAAGCCACGGATAATGGAGAGTTGAATAGTCGTAGTGAGTTCATACTTTGTACTTGGTTTGGTTTTAGTATCATGCTTTGTATTCCGATCGCTTTGAGTTTCCTGTTTATTTTTAGGCATTACACGAGTTAGAAGAGTCAGAAATAACAATCCACAGACTTTTTCTTCAATTACACCATATGTTTTTCTGCTGGCGAAAAACAAAAAATGTATTGTTCCAGGCAGACTCTTTACTCTTCTTGGTATTTTCTGATATTGATTCGCTTACATAATTACTGCTGATTTCTGTAGTGGAAGTAGACCCAAAACGAGACATTTCAATTTTTGAGTGACTGATATAAAATGTCAAACTTACTAATGTCAAACTTTGACAATCATAGCACTCTTATGCTGTCGAACAGAATAGCCGCTTATATTATGTTTTTCTACTCACATAACTAAAATGGCATTTTTCTACTCACATAACTAAAATGGCATTTAGCGTACGGATATGTACCACGCTAAATGATCGATTAATCACGGATTGTCGATCTGTGATTTATTCAAAATATTAAACACGTTACCATGGCAACACCATTTCTTAAACACATTACCATGGCAACGCAGTTCATTAAACACAGCTTCAGTAAGGCCCATACATGTCTGACCTGTCAATTGTATTAACTGTCAACTGTTATTTTCGAATTTTGTATCAGAATTATTCAAACAATATTCGTTTGTATCAGAATTCTTCATTAAAAATATATGGGAAATGTAAACGAAAGTGAAATTCAAGAGATTGTTCTAGTACTTGCATATCTCCTTGAAGTGTAAAAATG